TATGGATAAATCTGGATAGGTAAAAAGGCTACAGAAGGTTTGTGAATATTGCAGAAAGTCTGTGGGAAGTTATAAACATAAATAGAAATGTGAAAGTTTTGGAAAGAAATTATGTGGTGTTAGTAATAGAAGGTGTAAGGCATGGAGATGCATCTTGATGGGTATTAGAAGGACAAAGATTTCCTTCAAGCTTTGTGGTTTTTCTCCCTACCTGATCCCTCCAGAATTTGGCATTCTGAAGGAATGAATGATGATGTAATGTTTCTTTGCATAAAACCAATAAGACCAGTCATTAATAGTGGTTTTGTTAACCAGTTATTTGACTGGAATGTCACACCTGAAGGAGGCATGTATGGGTTCTGGTCATTACCAGAAAGCTCAGAGGAACTGGGATTGACCTGTGAAGCTAGCAAAAGCCCACAAGAAAAGCTTGGTACTTTGGTTGGTTGTATGATTCGAGCCAGTCTTTCTATGGAAGGAAGAAAGGTTGCTTTCCTGAAAGATGGCTAAGAAAGAACCTATAGGCACAATGGAGGCTCAAGGATTTGAGTGAAATGACTGGTACAGGCAAAGCCAGATGACAGATGTGTAGCTCTGCTTCTGTGCTCCAAGGGGCAGACTGAGAAGTCAATCTAAGGGTTCCCTGCATGAGTTCCAGCAAAGCGGACTTAAGGATCAGAAGTGATCCAGGCTGCTCTTGGTGTGTTTATGCAAATGAACAGTCAAAATCAAAAGCAGGACCCAAAGTAGTCCCTGTAATAACAGTAAGATGATATTAAGGAGAAAAACTGTAGTTCAAGGAAAATCACTATGCTCAGTATTGGACATCAGAATGGCACAGCTGTCTTGAAAGTTTACTTTCATTTAAGAGTTGAAACCAGGTTTGTGATGTCACTGAAGATGTACAATTTACAGGTGCAAAGGACCTGTCAAATTGCCACTGTTAAATGTCATTGTAGGAAGGATCTTGCAATGGAATGTCTTCCTAAGACAGTCTCATAGGCGCAGAGACTGGTTTGGGGATTATTGTGTAAATTAACCCTTGTGTTCTTCTGTTTTCATAGAGTGTATGTCTATGGATGATTAGTTACAATATAGGCCTCACTTAAGGAGCCCATCTTTGTCATCACCCCCACCCCACCCCCGAGACTCAAAAGTTTGATTGAACTAAGTAGTTAGGTTGATAAAGGGTTGGGGTGGTCTGTGGGCTTCACTTCAGAACTGATTTTCCCTTTTCTGTCTTGATAGCTTGGACAGAAAGGGCTCAGAAATCTGAAAGGAGGGAAATCCTAATGTATTCCCCTCAGCCCGAGTGAAGTACAGTGGGCCACAAGGAATCTTAAATAAGTGTAGCATGCCTTGTACACCTTCCTCCAGATAAGCCATTCTTTACTGAAGCCCCTGCCTTTGTCATTTAATAGTATGGTTTAATTGTGCTTTGAATTTCTTGCCTAATCTGTCACCTCCAGAATATGACCTGACCAGAAGGCCGAAGATCCAGTAATGCCAACCTTTGGACACCAAGCCTACGACTTCCTAGTGACAGCCAACTGACCAGCACCCTGTAAAGGTCCTTCTCCTTGCAGGAAGGACTCCCTCCGTGCTGCACTCCCCCTCCTCTTTCAGGGTACCCCCGACCCCAAGGGTAGGTAGGATGTACACGTCCAGCCAGAAGTAGTTACAAGATGAGACCTTTGTCCTTTATCCTTTATGATTCCAGAAGGAGAAAGGAATCTCAGAACCGCCCCCTCCCTAACAGTAAATCACAGGAGGAGAAAAATGATGAGGAAAGAAACCTCATTAATGCTCTGAATCCAGAGAAAGGGGGGGACCTGTACATTCCTAGGAGAGAAATGTTGCTACTATGTAAATCAGTCAGAGATCATAGCAAAGAAAGTTAAAGAAACCAGAGAGAATATAAACCGCTGCACCAAAGGAACAGAAAGTTAGAATTAGAGAAATTAGGGGCTAAATCCTCAGGCTTGGCTCCAGTAGATACTACCCTTCCTTGGGCCGCTAACCATATTTTTCTTAGGTTTAAGCTTCAGCCCCTGTATACTACAGACTATAGTCCAGAATCTAGAAGCTGCAGTAACTTGCAGAACAACCTCCAAGACCCTGTCTCTCCAGCAGCATCATTATCACAAGATACCCCAAGATATATAGGCCAGCCTCGTAGTGATGCTAGACCAGTTAACGGTACTGTCAAGCATCAAAAGGGGGGAGATGTAGCAGGAGACCTGCTTAGACAAGCCCAGACAAGTCAGAAGGACACGGTCCCTTTGCTGAGCCACTAAGATAAGGAAGGGTGAGCAACTAAATAACTAAGAAGAACAAAAGAACATTGTATGACCCTATCAGCAGCCCTGCTTTCTTGCTTCTGTAAACCTGCTTCTGCCACGGAGGCTTAGTAAAATCACTTCCGCATGCCACACTATGAAAACAAGCCGCTGCCTGAGCTCAGGACCCAGAATTTGGAGACTGCCTCCTCTGGGTCTGCATGCATAAATAAAGTTCCACTCCCTACACCCCAAAGTGGCTGAGTTGTTTTCTGTAACAATAGTACATAGGCTGCTCCAGTGCGTGTTAAGTTTTCCAAGTCTAAAAAAACAAAAACAAACAAAAAAAAACCTGGGCTTGGAACACACTACTTGGAAAACTATTACAGTTTTCTAAGTATAGTTTTCCAAGCCCAGGTCCACCTCAGAAGGAGCCTTCCTCGCTTGGGAGTTAAGACAAAACTAGGTAGCCTTTGCCGAGAAGGTGTTTGCGGAATGGGTTTCAGGTTTCTCAGGTGGTGAATAGGCTTCTCTAGGGCCTTGTTAAGTTTTCCAAGTCTAGAAAAAAAACTGGGTTTGGAAAACTAGATTTCGAAAATTGTTACAGCTTTTGAGTCTAGTTTTCCAAGCCAACATCCACCTCAGAAGGAGCCTTCCTTACTCAGGAGTTAAGAAAAACTAGGGAGCCTTGCCGAGAAGGTGTTTGCAGAATGGGTTTCAGATTCTTCAGATGGTAAATACTCTTCTCCAGTACAGTGTTCCGTTTTTCAAGTCTTGAAAATAAACACTGTACTTGGAAAACTAGACTTGTAAAACGTACACTACACTGGAGAAGCCTATTTACCATTTGAACAACTTGAGACCCATTGTGCCAACACCTTCTCTGCAAGGCTCCTTAGTTTTGTCCTAACTCCCAAGCAAGGAAAGCTCTGAGATGGATCTGGACTTAAAAACTAGACTTGGAAAATTGTAGTTTTCCAAGTCTAGTTTTCCTAGTCCAGTGCTTTTTATAGATTTGGAAAACTTAACACTTCACTGGAGAAGCCTGTTTACCATCTGAAGGACCTGACACCCATTCTGCAAACACCTTCTCTGCAAGGCTCCCAGGTTTGTCTTAACTCCCAAGAGAGGAAGGCTCCTTCTGAGGTGGATCTGGATTTGGAAAAGTAGACTTGGAAAACTTAACACTAGACTGGAGGAGCCTATTTACCATCTGAAGAACCCGAAACCCATTCTGTAAACACCTTTTTGGCAAGGCTCTCTAGTTCTGTCTTAACTATCAAGTGAGGAAGGCTCCTTCTGAGGTGGATCTGGACTTGGAAAACTAGACCTGGAAAACTGAAGTTTTCCTTTTGTTCGCAGGTCTGCACTCAATCCACGGAGCTACCACAGCCAGGGCCTTCACGCTACCATTTTAGTCACCCCGTTTCTGCATAACCTCATATAGAGAAATGACAGGATTTCAGGATTTCCTTCCTGAAAAACCAGCGTGCGAAGTCCCTTCGATGAGGTCTTCTCATTACGCAACGCTGTGGAGCAGAAACAAGAGCTGAAAGATAACAAATTTTGGGGTCAGAACAGTGAATTGCATGCTAGCTTTGGCCATTTATTATCTGAGCAACCTCGAGCAGGGCATTTCACATTTCTAAGCTCGTTTCCTGAAGATTCTGGAGAACACATGTGCACAGTTACAAGTGGAAGTTTCTTTATTCTGCAGACAACAGGATGTACTGGTAGCTGGCCAGTGACTGCTGATGGAGAATTCAATGCCACGGCAGACACGGGGCCTTCTGCCTTCTGAAGAGGTGGCTGGTTTGGTCCACAGGTGCCCCTCCAGCTGCAGTGATATACACTTCTCAAGCAGGAGGATTTGCACAAGGAGCGTGTTTGGATCTCTGCTTCACAGAAGCTGCTGCTGCAAGGGGAGAGGGGCTGACCTTTGCTTGGAATGCTGAACAAAAGGTGTGACTGAGTGAATAAAACCCATTGCAGGAACCTCAGGTTTCATGGCGCACTTGACTCGGTTCACCAGACAGACTACAAACAGTGAGTATGCAGTTGGCCTCTGGTGTCAACCAACTCAGACCCCAAGCGTGCCCTTTCTTCCCCCACTTTTCTCTGCAGGGCTGCCCCAGAAGCTGGAGCCATGGCTCCAGGCAGCTTTCAGAAGAGAAAAACTACCTTTTAACCTTCGGGTGGCTCGTGCAGGGGAAGGGATCTGTGTGGCCCAGCTCAGATCCCATGCCTATCCTTGGCCAGACCGTGGTGGCCAATGGACCAGGACACTGTCCAGCTTGGGCCATCTGTTCCATCACTGCCACCAGGGCAGCAGCCGCCTCACCGCTCTTCGCAGAGCACAATCCTTGTGCTCTCAGACATACTGCGATGGCCTGGGGATATCCATACTTATCTGAAGGGGCCGCAGGGCCAACCCTGAACGTGCGGGGTGGAATTTCACGGAGCAGAGTGTGTCGGATGCTGAGGTGCTCAGACATATGGCACGTGGGGGAGGAGGAAGCCCTGGCAGCCACGTGGGGAATAATGGTGGACTCTGTGCCACTGTAGGCTCCTTCTACATGAGAAGCAGCCAGGTAAGGTATGGAGTGGAATGTGGAGAAAGCCTCTGCAGCCAAGTGCAGGGAGCTCTGCTCCCTCCATCACGCCTCCCCACAGTGGTCCCCAGCGGCCGGCAGAGAGGATGTTAGTGTCCCCTGCAGTGTGCGAAGGACTAACAGTGGGCACATGGATAAAAGCAGGTCCATCCGGTCGGCCGAGGGCCCTAGAGTGTGTATTTCTAACAAGCTGGCCCAAGTGATTCAGATGTGGCTGGTGCTGCACTGTACCCGAGGAAAGCTGCACAGGATGGTGTCCGAGGAAGGAAGGAGACAAAGATTTGGCTGCCTGTTTGTTAAAGGCTAACTTCCAATCCTCTGCAACAGCCCCAGCAGACTAGTCATTTTTATGTGACGAGCCACTGAGTGGAGGGGTGGGCAAAAAACCAAACCAAACTAAAAAAATACCATCTGGACTGGCTGGGGGTGGAGAGGAAGGAAATGGCTGGGCAGGGAGGACCCGAACATCAGGGAAACACAGATGAGGGGTGGGCGTGGGGGGTAAAAGAGAGAGAGGAAATTCATTCAGAAAGGCCACTTTATTGATGGAGATGAAACAAGAAGTTCTCCACAGCCCTCCCTCACTCACTTCAGTGGCTTCACTGGGCATCTGAGACTGGCGTGGGCAAGTCTGTGGCCAGCTCCCCGCTGCCCACTCCACCTGAGGCGGCCACATAAAAACACATTGCAGCTGATGAAGATTCCCAGACACACCCCAGGGTCCCTCGGACAGTTACTGTGCATTTTTAAAATATTGTACAAAATATGTTAAGTAGCAAAGGTCAGCTGTGCTGTGATTATCAGCAGGACATCCTTCTAGGATTGTCGTCCCCCAAATATTACTTACTTATTGCAGTGAAACCTCTAGAAGATAGAGCTGTACAAAAAAAAAAAAAATCTAAACAATTTTAAGAAGAGCAGCAACCGAACGCTGCTGTAGTTCATTTAAATTTTCTTTCTCAAAAATACATTCTTAAATATACAAACTATACAATCTTGACATTTTAATGCTGGTTTTGTTTTTGTATTTTTTTCCTCTGAATAATAATAGAATCCACACTAAAAAAATCTTTATCTTCAAACCTACAGGAGCGCTAGAGGACTTGTGACTTGATACCTTCATATAACACCACATAAATAACTTTAGCCACAGTCTGTGTTCACAGCGTGGTCAGTGAAACCAAGGAAATACTTTTCTGGTGATTAGACGTCGTCCGCAGAGAGGGTGGGGATGTTCAGCCGAGGCCGGGTGAAAAACGCCATCTTCTCCCTGTGAAAGAGGCCATGGTCCTTTCAGAGACGGAGTTTCCAACCATTCTGTACAGACTCCACGGGCCGGCTGTCCTGTGCACTGTATGTCCCGTGGCAGCTCCCCTGCCTCTGCACCCCCCAGATGCCAGATGCAGCTCCCCCACCCCTCCCAGTTGTGACAACCAAAAATGTCCCCCCAGGGGGGCTGGGGCCCAAATCATTCCTGGTTTAGGAGCACTGCTTTGGGGGACATGAGCATGACCAGAGTCCTTTAATTAAAATCAGGGACTTGATCAGAAGGGCCTCTGAGCCACTTCCAGTGTTTGTTTTAGATTCCCACTGGCTTAACAGCAGAGATGTGCAAACATGGTCCTGTGTATCATGGTTCCTTTGAAATGCTTTTTAGCCTTATCTGAGAGGACATCGCAAGTCCAAGTGCAAGGCCCTCTGTGGATGGGGGACCCTCCCGTGAGCCACCCAGGTCTCCTACAGCAAGAAAGCGCCTCCCTGATATCCCAGCAGGCAGAGCCAGGAGGCCGAGCAGGCATCTGTCAGCCTGGCTTATTTATCAGTCGGCCAATTCTCTGCAATTACCAGGGACAGAAATGCTGAGAGAGAGGCTGGAGCAGGTGGCTCATTCATGGAAAAAGAGGAGCTAACAAATTAGCTCAGGTTGTCGGGGACTGAAAAGGACATCCAGGGAAGGCCATGCAGAGAGCACAGACCGCCAGGCACAGCTTGGCAGAGGATGAACGTCTGTGACAGAGCTGGTGCTCTGCTAGAGGAGGGGCCCCGGGACGGGGGCAGGGAGACGGACAAGGGCATCCAGGCTGGGTAGGTGGGCTGCGAAAGGGAAAAATGGGCTGGCCGGGCGGGAGCCCTCTAGCTCACCTGAACGACTGCACTTCTGGGGGCTCCTTACAGCTCTGGCCTCGAAGCCTGTGCACGTCCTTGGCGGCCGCCCTCATCATCTTGTCTGTCTGCAGCTCCCCCTGGCGCTCTGCTCGGTCCACCTGCAGGGCGAGGGCAGGCAAAGCTGTGAGGTGGTGGAGAGTCCTTTGGGCCTCCAGAAGTGGGCCAGCCGGGGGGAACCTTCTAGCACAGATAAGTTTATAGCAGTCCAAAGGTCTACGGGTCCACCACCGCTACCCTCGCTCTTTCTGTTCCCCGTAGGGTCCTCTTCACTCAGTGTCGAGGGAAAATGGGCCCACCATCCGGGACAGTGGCCAGGTCACTCACTGAGCACCTGTGTGGCCCTGTCCGAGGTCAGGAGATGAGGCTGTCTGGCGGAACGTGTGCTACTTCATCGACTCCTCCCTCGGGGCCATCTCGAAAGGTAGATTTTTATAATGACCTCATTTTACTGCCCAGGAAACAGAGGCATGGATGTGTTAAGAAATTTCTTTAATGTCAAATTACTAAGATGTGGTAGAAATCCAATTCCAAGTTGTGCAGTGTACTCAACTTTGTGTACACTGTACACCTTCCTCTTTTTTTTTTTTTAAGATTTTGTTTATTTACTTTTAGAGATGAGGAAGGGAAGGAGAGAGAGGGAGAGAAACATCCCTGTGTGTTTTCCTCTCACCCAGGCACGTGCCCTGACTGGGAATCGAATCGGCAACCCCTTGATTCGCAGGCCGGTGCTCAAAACCACTGAGCAACACCCCTTCCTCTTCATGCAAACCCCTGTAAGTACATTTGAGAACAAACCAGGGAGAGCCCTAAAATACCCATGTACTAGACATGTGACAACACTGCACAAAGAATTGTGGTCAATGAAGCTGTTGTTTAAATGGCCCTTTAGTAGGTGACCATCAAATAGCGGTGGATGTACTATAATTTACTATGTGAAAGGTCGATTTCCTCAGTTCGTATTTCCTGAAGGCAGGGCCCATTACGTTTATTTTCTTACCTCTTTTTGCCTTGGCTTCCTGGAAGCTCGGAGGTAAATATAACAGACAACTACCATGAGGTTAGGAATATATTCTCTTCTCTTCCTTAAAACTTCCTGTAACCTTCTATTTTTCCTGAGTGCTCTTATTAAATTACTGTTCTTCTGTTCTAAGTATACAGGGTATAAGTAATAGATTAGAAAGAAACATTTTTGGACTTTCCAAAATTGCCCAAGTCACTCTGAAGCTTCCACACTAGTCTTGACCTAAGAAGTTCAGCACACCTCCCCTGCTCTCAGGCACCACCGCTTGCATCAAGAACTGGGACTTTAGCTAACGGCCCTCCCAGCAACCCAGGCAAGCACCCTCTGTATGACACTCTTTTACATCATCTGGCTGGGTGCAGACAGAACTAGAGGAGGTCTGTCATTCCGGCCACGGCTGGCAATCTGGGACTGGCAGGTGTTATAAAAATGAGTCAAAGAGGCCTCTGTTTATTGACCTCGTGTCACTTAAATTTTTCATGGTAGTCTGTGACCTGTTGGCTCAAAAGCCCACTGGTGCCAAACTCAAATTTCTATCCACCCAGCTATTTTACATATAGCTCGAACAAGCAGGTTTTGAAACCACTTAGCACCTGCCTGCTTTGCTCACCCTGTGAAGCTACACCCATCATCTGCTTGTTATAGATAAGACGCTCCTTGAGGCTACCAAGGACCCTGAAATGCTGCTGCTTTGGAGCTCTTTTTTCTAGCGAAAAGATTATTTTTAGAGAGAGGGGAGGAGAGGAAGTGAAACGTGGGTTGGTTGTCTCTTGCATGCCCCCAGTGGGTGAGGGTGAGGTGGAGGGTGGAGGTGAAACCAGCCCACAACCCAGGCATGTTCCCACACAGGGAACTGACCGGCAGCCCTTTGGTTTGCAAGATGACGCCCAACCCACTGAGCTACACCAGTCAGGATTGCTTTGGAGCCCTCTGATCCAGAGACTTCTTACAGTGCTGCTGAGTGACATCATCTAGACGCATAAGCCCACTCCCCAATCCTCCTAGGAGTTCCCTTCTCCTCCTGCCCTCTAGGTGTAGCCCCAGAAAAGTTGTCTCTGGGAGGTCCTCGTGCTGGGAGAGACTTCTCTGGCAGGAGGACTCACAAATGCAGTTCCTCCTTGAGTGCTAATGCCATTTTCTAGTCCTATCTTTCTCCTTGAGCGACCCTGAAACCCCTTGAATGCAGTACAGGAGGGCAGAGGAGTGAGCAGGCTTGTGTTGCTGGCATGTCAGCGCCAAGCCCTGCCATGGTGTGAGGCTCTCCACTCTGGTGATACCTGCTCCATGGCACTTCACCGGCAGGCCCCGGCTGGGTCACTGTTCTAGATTTTACTGCTCGAGTGGGTGCTACAGCAGAAGATGCACCCGTGTTTGAGGAAGGGCTGCACAAGTGAATAAATGTATGGCTAGTAAGGACTTGCCCACACTCACATGGAAATGCAGCAAAAAGGTCCTGGCCACCAGGTCGAGAGTCAGTAACATTTACTGGGCAAAGGGATTCCTCGATCCTTTTGCTGATGGGAATGAAGGGCCACGGAACACCCTCAGGGGGTCTCAGGATTCTACCACCCCCTTTCAAAGATTTGGTTGCTTTCCCCCTTGTAGCAGCAGGCGGTGTTCAAGGGCAAAACACAGCGCCCCCTTCTGTTCGTCGCACTCACCTGCTTCTCCAGCATCCTCAACAGCAGGCGGAAGCGCTCGTCCTCCCGCAGTGGCTGCGGCAGCTCCTTTTCCCCGTGGCTCTTGGCTTGCTCGAGCTGCTGCTTGAGCTCCTTCAGCACCGAAATCTCCTGAGTCAGCTGGCTGTGCCAGGTCCTGGTGGCCTGCAGGTCTAACTCAAGGTCCAGCGAGGTGCGTATCAGGCGCTCGTTGCGCGGGCATTTGAAGGATGAAGGCTGTGGGGGCGGGGATGGGTCAGTACCTGGCAGGCCCCAGTAAGCACACCCACATAACCCCCTCCTCCCACCCTCCCTCCTTCCTTAATCAGCAGGCTTCCATGCCTTCAAAAATGCCCCACTCCCTACGACCCGCCTGGGGTTCTCCCATTCTACGGCTCATGTTTACATCCCGGGCACGGTGCCAGGTTGTTTACGTTTACGGCATGACCTCAGTTCATTTGCACAACTCTATGTCCCGACCGCCATCGTTGCACAGGTGAGGCTCCCAGAGGTTAAGTCACACGTCGTAAGTGGTAAAGCAGAGACTCCACCCCAGGGAGCTGGCTCCAGACCCCATCACGCACTGCCCACACAAGGCCCAGCTCCCTACCCTCTGTGTCCTCCACATCCCCCTTCTCGGTCAATGCATTCTGGTCTCTCTGCTGCTCTCAGGTTGTCTCCATAGTGCAAGCCTGCTCCCCCTTGAGAGCTACAGCCATGTCTTCCTGACTCGGTGTCCCCATAAGGGACCCCTACTGTTTCTGCCTATGTGGCATCTACTCCCCCAGTCTTAGACTAGGCACCCTCCTTTGGGCATCCACACCTCCATGTTCAACCCATGTGGTTCGTGTGGGGCTTCGAGGACAGGACTGTGACCTAAACTTGGCAAATCAGAATCACAGTGATGGCTTCAGGGGCGATAGTTTGGGTACCTTTGGTGAGCTATTTGGGAAAAAGGCAATGTCTTTACAGGGAGATTCTTAAGCCAGCAGGATAGAAACCTAAACTGATCAGGGTCACCTTCAACACTGCATGGGTGACCTTGGTTAAGAATTATGCTAGAAGAAGAAGAAGGCGCAGGAGGAGAGGAGAGGGGGAGAAAGAGGAATAGGAGAAGAATAAGAATTAATAATAATAATTATTATTATTTTAAAGATTTTATTTACTTTTAGAGACAGGAAGGGAGGGAGAAAGAGAGAAAAACATCAATGTGTGGTTGCTTCTCACATGGCCCCCACTGGGGACCTGGCCTGAAACCCAGGCATGTGCCCTGACTAGGAATCGAACCAGCGACCCCTTGGTTCACAGCCCCCCTGCTCAATCCACTGAGCTATGCCAGCCAGGGCATTAGTATTACTATTATTATTAAGCTAGCTGGAGGGAGCAGTGCCATGGGTGGGGGGGCACTAGGGGCAGGGGCTGAAGCTTGACAATATTCAACTCCTGGATCAATCTAAACCTAGGCTTTCCATCACACAAGCCAGTAAATTCCCCCTTTTCATTTTCAAGCTGTATTCTTCAGGTATCTGCATGCATAAGACCCTGAGTAATATAACAATGAACTCTTCTGCTAGCAAAACCCAGTAATGATTTTTTTAAAAAAGAGACTGACTACAGGAAGCTGAATTCTACACTGGCCTCCAAGATTGCCAGCCCCCTCAGCGTGGTGAGTGAGACCTGTGAATATAAGGGGGTATCACTCCTGTGATGAGGTAACTAATCAGTTGATGTTGAGTTAATCATCCTGGGTGGGCCTGACCTAATCAGGTGAACTCTTGAAAGATAAACTGGCCCTTTCTGAGTATCTTCTGCTGGCCTCCAAGAAGCCATGTGATGTTTTGGAGAGGGCCACATGATAGGGACCCGAGAATGACCTCTGTGAGCTGTGAATAGCTCCAGACCTACAGCTAGCAAAACACGCAAGGCAATGAATCCTGCCAAACCCTCAAGAGGGCCGGGATGTGAAACTTTCTCTGGTCAAAATTCCAGATGAGGATGCAGGCAGTCAACACCTAGACCTCAGCCTGGTGAGATCCTGAGCAGAGGGTGCAGCTAACCTGTGCTGAACTCCTCACCTGTGGGACCTGTGGGAGAAGGTACTGTTTTAAGCTGTTAAGTGTGTGATTTGTTACGCAGCCACAGGAAGTGAAGACAGTGACGAACAAAGGGACTTGAGAAATGGCCTGTAAACTGTTACTATGAGCCCTGTCCTCACTTAGTACTTGTACACTTTCAGGAATACAAAACAGCTTTAAAGCACAAGTTTTATGAGGCTTGTCTGGGTCTATGTTTATAAATGTGCAGGTTAAGGAAATCCAGCCAAGGATCTACTGTATGTGCCTTGAGTTCTCAGAGCAAGAAATGGAGCTTATTTTTCTTTGCTCTGACTGATGTCCAATCTCAGAGCCTGGCAGGACACAGACAGGGGGACAGGTCAGGCTCTGGCACAGCCCCTGGATTCTCCTGCTCCTTGGGCACAGACAACCTGAGAAAAATGTGGGCTCAGACCCACCATCAAGGGCTCCCTTACTAAGGCATCCCCTTGGGTAAGAGCAAGAGCAGGTGAAGAAGGGGGAACTTCTGCAGGGCTTACCTTAGAAGGGGGTTTTAGGGAACACAGTAGCATGTCTCCCTCCAGAACCCTCCGAGGAGCTTGTTGAAAATGTAGTTTCCAGGCGCTGAATTACGCTGTCCAGGAATGTGGGCTTGGAATCTGCACCATCAACAAGCTCCCCAGGAGACCCTGCAGCACCAGCCAGCCACAGAAAATGGGAAAGGGGTGGGGGACCCAGAATGGGAGGTGGGCTGTCCCTGCCACCGGAGACTATGCGCGCCTTCTCCCACTGCCAGCACCCTCTTCTGCCTGCACTGTTTCCTCCTGCTTTCTCTCGTTCTTCCTGGAGATTCAGGAAGAAGGGTGGTGATCGACAGAGGACCAACTCCTCATTCTGGCAGTCAGCAGCCAGCCGGCCCCAAGCCCCAGGAGACTCAGGGCAGCCTTCCCCTGCCTGGGGCTGTTCGCACACTCTCCTTTCCCTGAATGTCTCCCACTGTGCTCTCTGTCGTCCTCTGCCTGATACTCTGGAAGCTGGGTTTCTTCTATTTCTACAAACACACCAGAACTACTGCAAAGTCTGTGTTAAAAGTGCGAAGAGGGCAAGGCCCTCTGCATCTCCTGCAGCCCTGGCTGGTGAAAGGAGTCAGTCCTTTGCCTAACACCACACCCTCCCCGCCCCGAACCTCAGCCAAGTCCCCGTAAGGAAAGGCCAAGATGTCTCTACAGGGACAGCCCTGGCCTCTTCCCTGTGTGCGTTCAGCTGGACTGAGAGAAGCCCACTCATGCCTCCCAGCTTCCAGTCCGTGCTGGGGCACCCTCTGCCAGCAGGAAGGGTTGTCAGGACCTTGACCACTCAATCAGCTGGGCCACACACCGAGCAGAGACTCATGCGGGGCAGGCTCCCATTGGTGACCTTGGGTTGCTGGATTTTTACCCAGGAAGATGCTTCCCCCAGCCTTACAGTTCACAAATGTCCACGTGTAAAAAGCACCACGACCGCAACAGTGAGGTCCTTCACACTGTGGCTGAGAACAGTCGGACATCAGGGGCTGCGCTAGGGGAAGTGAGGGCAGAGCAGGAGGCTGTCTCACCCGCTTCACCCGGACGCTGCGGCGCTCCAGGGAGTTTCGAACAAAAGGCGGCTTCTTGGACAGTGTGGAGCTGTCACTGTCACTCCGATTCAGCTGCAAGAAACACACCAGGGAAGTTACTGAAGGTCCAAGTGTGTCAGAAGGCACGCTGGGGCCGGCCAGGTGGCTTCCCCCACTCCGCCCAGTCCTGCTCTCCTGTGCACACACGGGTCCCTGCTCCCTGGGCCCTGCAGGAGGTGGGTTTCACTTCACCCGCCTTTCCTTTCCAGGGGACCGTTTGTCAAGCATGTTTACAGCACACCGCCTGCAGCAACCTGCTATGTGTGCGGTATCATTGAATCCTTCCAACAACGACATGGCGCAGGCAGGAGCAGCCCTTCCCCATGGGAGAGAAGCCTGGGACTTGCCCAAGGTCGGCGGTTGGTAGCAGTACCGGAGGGCTGGCACAGACAGTGAGAGTGCAGGATAGAACGCCCCCTTGACCTAGCCAAGGCCTATTGGCAGTGACTCGTCCCTGTTGCCCCCACACGGCCTGTCTTAACGGCTCAGATGGAGCCACTGACAAGACTGCCAGACACATGAAAAGAAAAGCAGCCCCAGAGCAAAAACTCAGGGACCGTTTCCTTGGGGAAGGTGGGCAGACAGGTGCGTGAGGGCCGTGCCATCTCAGCTCTGTCCACCTCGGGGTCCCTTCCATCGTTCACTTGTTTGCAGCCTCCCTAGAAGGCTGACGCCCTCCATCCACGGTCAGAGGTCAGGGCCGTGGTCAGATGGGTGCTGTCCTACGGGAGGACCAGAGAGAGGGAGGCGGGGATGACAGGACCTCCCAGGATGTGCGGGTGGGAGTGAGCCGCATTTCTGCGTGGCTGGGATCCCGGCAGGCAGATGCTGTGCAGCCTGTTTGTTCTGACAGCTGTCAGCCCACCTCTGCACATCTCTCCTGGGACGCTGTTATATCATTTGGGGGGTTATTAATAATTATTAATGACAATGATATTACTCGTCTGGCTTTGTCAAACACAGCAGCCCGAGGCACGTAACTAATGAAACTGCTACTGTGCCAGGCAGAGTCTCAACCAGAACCAGAGCAGTAACAACAATAAATTACAGCCACGTGGGCAGAACACCTACTGTGTGCCACGTGCTTCGGTGACAGTTTCATTCTACCCTCAAACAGAGAGACGGACACACTTTGACATTTCGTATGGCTGGTGAGCACCAGAACAAGAGTTCAAGGTCCAGTCTGCTTGACCCCAAGGCCACGGCCTCTCCTGGCCCAGGGTGCAGGCAGGGCTCAGAGAAGAAACTAACCAACGGACAGAGGGACGGAACAGCTGGACTGGAGTGCGCAGCACAAAGAGACGGGCTGGATGTCATGCCAGGAGGGGGCTTTATCCCGCCTGGCTTCCATTTGAAGATGGCACTCAGAGGATGTGTCGCGCCAACTATTTGTATGTGTCGGGACACCTGATCCTTAACTCGTAACTGCTTGCGAACAAGGAGGGGAGACGTGGTTGGAATTACAGGAGCATTGCCAGGCACCAGTTACTGGGCCTTTTCCGTCTTTTATCTAATTCAACCCTTAAAACAGCCCTATGCCGTCCGCCTAGTCACGCCGCACGAGGCTACGGGCTCAGGGCGTGCACTTGTCCGAGGACATCCAACGCCATGACAGGGGCTGGGATTTGTACCCAGAGCTTCGAGGTGGAAGGACCCCCGGTGGGAACAGGTGCCCTGGGAGGGGGGCAGGGCCACACGTTTGCTTACCCGGCACACGTACTGGCTCTGGGGTCCGGGGGAGAAGGTCTTGGAGCGGATGATGGTGCTTCCTCGCAGAAATGGTGCCGGGGATGGTGTGCCCACCCGCCGGTCCTTGGGCCGCACCACCGTGGGGGATGGGGCGGGCGTCTCTGTGTTGGTCTCTTTGTCCACCTGAGGAAGAAGTCACAGCTTTGAGATCACCGAGTCTCAGCCACCCACCCCAAGACTCACGGGGAAGATTCCCTGGTTGCTCCCCACTCCTGTCACTTCCCCTCTGTCTCAGAGACACAGCTGGGAGCTTCCTTCGCCCCAACCCTGCCCAGCCAGGACGGTGCCCAAGGTCCCGAGGGCCAGCCCCTGTTCCTCCATGACACCTGTGAGTTGGGGCTAGTGGAGGCACATTCAGTCCCCAAACAAGCTCACGGGAGAGCGGAGGTACCTTAAGGACAGGTGGCCTGGACTTCTCACCTCAAGACTTATGTGCCACACACACTTTGTCAAGGTCACACCAAGGTCTCCCCTGCCCCAGCCAAGAACAGCCGATGTTTCCTTGAAATTATGGAGGCAAGCAGCCAACCTCGTTTCCTAAACCAGGTGACTGGGTTTTCCTATCCCTTCACGGTGGTCACCAGCAAAAGGCAGGCAAACAAGAACACCTGCAGGCAGGGCCTCCATCAGCCCAAACAGCGCCTTTGTGTAACTCTTCAAGAGGAGCTGCCTTTGGCTGGAGACAGTGCAAAACGCTGCCCTGTTGGTGTGGAGCAGTTGGAGGGTGCCCCTCAATTCCTCTTGGGCCCCCCTTGTCCTGGTAGCTTGTGCAATGCACGACCTGCAACTCCACCCTCTGGTTGCCCTGTTTCAACACAATGGGGTGCTGTCTTCTGAGGAGCCCAGAGGTGGAAAGAACAGATCTTTGTCAATCTTGTTCTAACACGTAATTCTAGCGCAGCAGAAAAGCAGGGGCCGAGGGGAACTTGACCATTAGACTCCTTCTCCCGCTGTACTCTGGGCCAAACCAAATGCAGAAATACGTTACTCTGAAATCATAGAACCTGTCTGCAAGGTGGGTGTTATTGTGTCCAGTGTAGAGACAATGAAACAAAGGCTAGAGAGAAATGAAATCATCTGCCTAAGACCACACAGCTAGGGAGTAGCAGAGCCTGCATTTGAACCCTGACAGCAAAGCTTAAGGTCTGTCTAGAGAGAGGGGAGGCGGGTGAGTCTGCCTCTCCTGGTTTCCTGTCACTGAAAGGAGCCAAGTTAACAGGCAGGGACACCGCAATACACCTGCTGCAGTCACTCCATTCCGAGGCCTGTCCCCTGAGGCTGGGGGACAAGATGTAACCAGGTACCTCTTGTGACTGCCTTCTCAAGGACTGGGGGGCTATTTCCCTTCCCATCTCCCCAGCGCACCCTACCTTTAATGCTGGGCACTCCTCCATATCCGGTGAGGATTTCTCAGCAAAAACGTCCTCCTCTCCCTCCTCTTCCTCCTCTGCAGCAGCCTCATTGTCGCTGGTCTCCTCCTCGAACCTCCTGTGACGACACAGAACTCTAGTTACTCCCCCAGAGACCCCTCTGATCTGCTCACTTGCTTTTAAATGCACCCAGGGCAGGGCTTCCAAACCTTTTCAGAATCTGGGAGACACATTTCTTTGAAAATAAAATAAAATGAAAAGATCAATTTTAGTGAGGTGTAATTTACACAGAGCAAAATGTACTTTTCAGTGTGCACTTTGGCCAAGTTTGATCCGTGTAATTCCCCCGTGTAAACACTACCACCACACAGACCTTTCTGTTATCCCAGAAAGTCCCCTCAGCCCCTTTCTCAGTTAATCTCCCACCGCCCCCGGCCCAACACCGATCGGCTCTCAGTCACTATAGATGAAATCTGAGTTTTCTAGCATGCCACAGAAATAGAATCAGACAGTATGCGCTCTTATGTCTCTGGCTTCATTCTTTCAGCATTAGGTTTCTGAGATTCATCCGTATCGGTGATTGCAGCATTAACAGTTTGCTCCTTTTTTATGACTGAGTAATATTCCATTGGATGGACAGGCCGTAATCCATTTATCTCTTCAGCAGAGATAAATGATGATCTTTTCAATTGTTTCCATTTCTTAGCAATTGTAAATAAAGCTTCTACAGACATGCACGTAGATACAAGTTTTTACTTCTCTTGGATATTGTGTGTTTGCCTGAACTGCTTCAATAATACTGGGTGGCTGAAAAGAACAGAAATGTATCTCTTGCAAGTCTGGGGGCTAGAAGTCCAAGATCAAGGTGTGGGCAGCTTTGGTTTCCTGAGGCCTCTCCCTGGGGCTTGCAGATGGCCACCTTCTTGCTGTGTTCTCACACAGTCTTCCCTCCTTGTGCATATCTTTGAGGTCTCATGTCTTCAAATGTCCTCTTTTTACAAAAACACCAGTCCTATCGGATTAGGGCCCACCATGCCTTTAGCAACCTCACATGAACCTAGTCACCTTTTAAGGTCTTTACCTCCAAATACAGTCACATTGAGAGGTCCTGGGGCCAGGGCTTCCATGTATGAATCTTGCAGGGGACACAGTTCAGACCCTAACAGCATTATACCTAAAAGTAGAACGGCTAAGTCACACAGTAAGTATGGGTTTTATCTTTTTAAGAAACTGATAGACTGGTTTTCCAACAGGGTTATGCCGCTTGACACTCCCAGCAGCAAAGTTCTGAGAGCTCCAGTCCCTCGTCTACACTCGGTATTGTCAGTCTTTACATTTGGTCATTTTTCTGGGAGTCTACCAACCTCTCACCATGGTTTTTAATCTGCACTTTCTCTTTGAGATTCTTCTTGTGCATTTACTGAGCACCCATATGTTTTCCTTTTGCAGAGTGTCTGTTAGAGTCTTTAGCCCATTTAAAAACTGGGTTGTCTTTCTATTATTGGGTTGTAAGAGTTCATTATATACTCTGGATATAAATCCCTTGCAAATACTTTCTCTAAGTCTGTGGCTTGACATTTTATTTTCTAAAATGATGTGTTCTAAAGAACAGAAGCGTTTGATCATAAGAAAGTCCAATTTACCAAAATTTTTTAATGGTTTGTGCTTTTTACACCCTATCTAAGAAATTCCTGCTACCCTAATGTTGCAAAAAGTTTCTCCTATATTTTCTTTTAGGATTTTTATAGTTTCAGATTTAATGCTTAGCCCCGCAACCCATTCCAGATTAATTTTTGTATGTGATGCTCAAAGTCTGTTTTTTCTATGTGGATATTCAATTGTTCCAGCAGTGGTCACTGAAGAAACTTTACTTTTGATGATGCTCCTCAAAATTATCCTTTCCCCACAGACTCCACGGTTGGAAGGAATTGCTGTGGCAAGTGGGCTGGATTTGTTAATTAGTAATTTATCTCCAATCCCATCTTTCCTTCTCAAAGACATACACAACTGCCAGGCTTCTGATCAGCGTGAGACAGCATTACCACACCGAGCAGGCGGAGTTCCAGCCGAGAGCTGAAAATCTGACATCTCTAGCTGGCCCCTCAAGACTCTGGATAAACGTCAAGTCTCCCTTGGGATTTTCCCAGTGCAGAGGATGTCTCTAGGATCACTACACCCAGCCCCATGATTAGAGTGTCCTCTGCACTTCGATGTGCGCTTGGCAATGCTGGGGCCTCCGCTCTCCCTCCTTTGCACTCGCAGTCTGTCTGTCCCCTTGTAAAAGAGACATTGAACATGGGAATATGCAAGGAGCCCCTCTCTAGGAGTCCTGCAGACGCCACATTAACCAGCACTTACAGAGGGCTTAATAAGCTGCAGGTGCTACGCTCAGGCCTTACGACAGTGTGGCAGGCAATTAATGTCTCTGTTTTATGGGCCGAAAAGCTGAGGATCAGAGAGTTGAGCACGCTTGCCCAGCATCGCGATCCAGGGTTGCTAAGAGGCATGGCCTGGCCTTCCACCCACGTGTGCCCACGTCCACTACATGCCTGGTCACTACGGAAATCTCCCCTTCTGTGCTGTGAATCTGATCTCCATATTTCCAGAAAGGAAAAAAAAATAACACCTCTCACTGTAAAGAAAAAACCATTTTGTATAGATACCTTTTTACCCTTTGGAGTGCCAAAAAAAAAGAAATATCAGATAATCTCGTGGGCTGGTGAAGGTCTAGGGAACAGGCTAATCCTTGCAGGGGGTAATAAGAGCATCCAATTCATCCTCGGAGGTCAGAGCAGCGGTGCCTGCTACGCTGAAACAGGTACGCACTGCTGAGTAAGTAACACAGACAGACGGTCACGTGGACGTCAGAGAGGGTTGAGGGGGCCTGGCAAGCACAACGGGTGGGAACACTGACCAGTGCGGTCTTACTGCGGAGCCACCCTGCAACACCACTTCTCAGCATCTGCCCCAGACAAGCACCCCCAAGTTCCCAAGGAGGCCTACACCAGGCTTTTCACACCAGTGTCGTTTGTGATCATACTCTCCCCTACTGTTTCGTATTTTTCGCTTTTGAACCTTAAAAAAAAAAAAAAAAATCCAGTCTTCTGATTTTATGCACTAACAGAAACCTAACCAGAATAAAAAAGGGGGCAAGACAATAACACCCTGGGCCTTGGGTGCTGAAGGAGGAGGGGCGTGAATGAGAACAGAGGGCTGGTCTTCTGGAGGCCTTGGCACAGGACGCCAGAGCTGAGCACGCCCCACAAGGCTAGTTAACATTCCAGGACCCAAAGAAGCCTGTGGCCTGGGGGCGGGGTGGGGGTGGGGGGTTGCAGATGGATTTACCCCCGCAGGGGAGCTCTGGGGTTCTCAGCCTGCTTTGTAAGTCAGTGTCTAGGGAAGTCTGAATGGCCAGGGGTAGGGAGAGAGGGGGCCACAAAGGGAGAGAGAACAGAAGGCAGTTGCTAGGCAATGGCGTGAAAAGTCTCAACACAGGCTTGGAATTTGGGGGAAACCAGTGATCTCGTGCCAGGGTTTTGGAAGACAGGTCCTAGGCCTATTTCCGGCATCACAGCTTTGCCTGCGTGGATCCCAGCCTGGCCCAGCCGGGTGCTGGAGAGGAGAGGGAGGAAGAAGGAAGACAGGGAAGTGGGGGAAGAGAGAGAGGAGCTGAGGCTGGGAGGGAGGGAGGGAGACAGGATGGGGGAGGGAAAGAGGAATGGAGACAATTTTGAGAAAACCCTAAATTAAACAGGTAAAGACACAAAAACTCAGGAACTATAAAGGAGACTCAGAGAGGGCTGAACCCATGGACAGTCTAAGCTGTAAATGGTTTTTTTATATTTTTAAATGGCTGGGGGGAAAAAAAGCAAAAGCATGATTATTTCATGACATGTAAATTATGTGAAATTCCAACCCCAGGGCCCAGAATCACAGTTTCAGGGACAGGGACATGGTGGCTGGCGTGGGTACCATCTCCGGCTGTTTTCGCCCTAAAACAGCAGAGTCAGGCAGACACAACAGGCTCTATAAGGCCCACAAAGGCGTGGCAGATATTGAGGAAAGACTCCTTCGGAGAGCAGATGTATAATTTGGGGCCGTCACAGAAGAATATAGAAGCGTCCACTGAGCATTTCCTGTGGGGCAGGATCTGTGTTCAGTGCTCAGCATATATGGTGAGATCAAGCCTAGAAAATACTCACGCACAGCGGCTGTTTTTTAAGACTGAATTTTACAGATGAGGAAGCGGAGGCTTAGAGCCACAGTTCCCAACCCAGGCTGCACATCGGAATGGCCCGGACCCAGGATCCCCCAGGAAGTTGGCTGAGCGAGACCCGGAATCCCCATCTGTCTGAATTCGGAGCACATGCACCGAAGCCCAACTAGACCTCCGCCCAAGTGGCAAGAGTCATTCACAGGCTGCGGTCACTGCCCAGATGGAATGTGCTGGTTCCGTGGGGAGGTTGGTTTCTGAAAATTCACTCTATTGTATGGGCTGCGTAGGTGAACTTTGCTATATGCAGCTACCCTGCAGTAAAAAGTGAGAAGTGCTTTGCCCAAGGTTACAAAACAAACAAACAAACAAACAAACAAACAAACAAACAGTGAAGCTCAGATTTGAACCCTCATCTACACCACTGTTTTCTTAAGGTGGAAGAGACCTTTCTGCTGGGTTTCCAGGAGCTAAGGAGCCCTGAACTGCACCACAAGAAAGCGTCTCCGCTGCGTTCTCCATTGGATTACATCAGGGAGAGTCTTTACTACTAGCTGAAACACTAACAAAGCTTCCTTTTTATTGTTTTATCCTCACCGAGGATCTGTGATCTATTTATTGATTTTAGAGAGAGAAGAAGGGGGACTGAGAGAGAAAGAAAGAGAGAGAGAGAGACATCAACATGAGAGAAAGAGCGATCCTCCCATATGTGCCTGGACTGAGGATTGAACTTGCAACCTTTTGGTGTACGGGATGACGCTCTAACCAACTGAGCTACCCGCAGGGCAAGCTTCTTTAGATTTAAGTCTATCCAGACAAACTAACACTAGATGTGAACTAGCACGAGTGATTCATAGAACAGAAAATGATACATGGAGGGGCCAGCATTCCAGGCCACATACTGCCTCGCTGACTGCAGAGAACCCGTAAGGAATCAGGTTCTCGGTGTTCCTATGGGGACCCGTCTCCTGGTTGCTCCAGCAGTCAGGGAAGCCAGGCCTGGGCCCAGGTCCAAGCCAGATCAGTTCCTGGGGCCCAAGAGAGCCGTCACTTACCAGCTGTCGCCTGGGGTCTGGGTGCTGCTCCTTCCCTCCTGCCTCTTCTCCAGCTCCACGGCTGTCTGCTCCAACAGAGCAGACACGGCGTCCTGCGGAGATCAAGGCTGATGGGTTCGCTGGAACACCACCAGCGCAGCCCCTCCAGGCAAGAGTCGGGGCTTGTCTGCCTGTGACCCTCCCAGGGAACCGAGGGTGAAACTGGATGAGCATCGTGCCTCAAGGTCACTTAAACATTAGAAATACGGTGCTTAGCTCTTCTAAACTAGCAGTTCTCCTGAGAATAACCCTGGTGGGAGTGGACAGTTTGGGAAGACAAGCCAAGTTCAGTAGATGAGTGAAACAGAATTCTAGGTCTCTGGTTGTCGGGAGATCATAGGGTATCAGGGAGACCATCACGTGAACTGTGAACCATCACAACAATGTGAGAGGGACTATGCTGGAGGTTAAGGTATTAATGTTTGGGAACAGAACCTCAGCTGGTTGCATTCAAGGAAGGCTTCCTGGAGGAAGAGTATGTATACTGAACGGTGTCTACAGCAAAGAAGCTGGTGTGAGTTGAGGAAATTGTTTAACCTGAGATCCAGTTTCCTATAACACCTACTACAAAGGGCTGTTAGGAAAACTACACGCATAAGGTGTGCAGAAGAGCACCTCACACATAACTGGCGCTCAGTAAATGGCAGCAAATAGCAAAGCAAAACTGATCTTTTCTGAGCACGGGGTTAATGGGCAAATGCCCGTGGTAGGGTAAAGCCAGATTTTCTTTGGGAGAAGGGAAGGGGGACTAAAATCAGCTGAAGGCCTGGTATACGCCAGACACTGAGTGGTGTACAGGTACCACCTCACTGAATCCTTACACCATCCTGGTAGGGGGAGATTACGACTACTCCCCTGAGAAATGGGAAGAAGGAAACTAACAAGCCCAAGGTGGATGTGACTTATCCAAGCACGGGCTCTAGGAAGTAGAGGGGTCTTTTTTTTTTTTTTTAAGACTTTTTGCCAGCCATTGTTATGTTTTTGGAGTGAGGGAAACCTAAGTTTGACACGTAGAGTTGTTGCTTATTAGATAGATGTATGTCCTCAGGTGCCCTTGCTGAGCCTCAGTAAATTGCACGTAATGAACCAGGGCAGTGCCTCCCATAAAATGAAGCACAGAAAATGATCGTGATGATGGTGATGACAAAAGAAGAGGAGGAAGAGGAGAAAGAAATAGATCGAATCCTTAACCCTATCGCTACCTGTGAGCGCTAGCCCATCCCCTCCGATGAGATGCTGGGCAGTGACCGTACGAGCAGAGGAAAGAAGCCCTGCAGAGATGTACAGGCCACCTGGACCCCCAACACCCTCTCTGGGGACCCCATTAGGACCCGATACACTGCATCGCACCATGTTCAAGGGTGTGACTTCACTGCTCAGCAGGCCCCTGGCCAGCACATGTGGGCTTTCCAAGTGCAGAAGACAGTGTACGGACATTTAACAGGTTACAGTGTGTGGCACTAAAATATGTGTTTTTTAACCAAAAAATGGGCCAACGTAAGATTTTCAAGAAAAATAATGAGACAGATACTGTTTTGTCAGGCCCTTGCCCGGCGCTCCCTACGTGTACTTCTTCCTAACACCATCTCGGAGTCAGATTAGTCGTGAAGACGTGGAAGCTGAGAGGCGAGATGAGTGGTCCCTGCCACCCAGCTCAGGAACGCCCGCCTCCTGGCTGGCGCCCACGACTTCCCTCAGTATCTTATGGAAAGCCTCCACGGTAGCCCACGAGCCCACACAGTAAGGCCTCAATAAAGATTAACTTTCTGCCTTCCTCAGTTTTCTATTTCCTCCTCCCATTCCTTTTTTAAAAGTTGTGAATAAAGGTTTTCATCGGGCGAATTCTAGCCAGTCAAGCAATGTACGGAGGGGGAGGGCACCGTTAGGAAGGAGAAAGATAGGGGTACGGCCCCTTTGCAGGGCTCTCCCCCGCTTTGCCCTCTTCCCCTGTCCACCCCCATCCCTCTGGGCCATCTCCTTCCCCGCCTCCAATTCTGGGAGAGCCCATTCCTCCCATCCAGCCAGGTAGGAAGTGGTCCTGCTCACCATGCTTTCAGGCCCTGGGGTGGGGGCCTTGGCTCCCGCTGGCTTGGGCTCCCTGCTCTGTTTCTTCAAGTATTTGTAGCTCAGGAGGTTGTACCAGCGAGTCGACCTCTCCCCAGACCGGCAGACCTCAGCCAGGCTGATCTGGGCGCCTCCCTGGTGAGAACGGGAAAAGAGAGCACCGTCAGCAGGGTGACCGGGAGATCCTGGGGAACTTGGCTCCTGCCGGACGTACGGAAAACACCACTGCAGGGGAGGGGGACGCTCCCGGGGAGGAAGAGAAAGCCAGCCGTGAATCATTTCCACCAATCACTCATTCACTAATTATTCACTCATAGCCAAATATTTATTAAATGTTTATCTCTAGGCTGATAGGGAGAAACTCCCAGGCTAGATGTTGAGGGAAAAAATAGGATAGTGCAGAACAGAACATAGAGTATGCGATATTTTGTACAAAAAATGGGAGAATCCTCCTCATATTTTCTCCCTCCCTTCCCCTCAATAACAACAAGCGGGAGAGGGGTAAGAATGTATTTTCTCTGTATTTGCACCATATCTGAGGTACAAGGGAGAGTGAGCCTGATCACGTGATCATATGTGCAGCAAGAAATAAAGGAAAGGTAAAGAACAAACTAATCCCAGTGGTTACCCAGACAGGTAGGCAGTGGGACCAGGGTGGACAGAGTGGAGAGCACAGGATTTCTCTATAGTAAACCTTTCTAAACAATTTTTCTTTGAATCATGTAAATGGATTCTTTATGAGTAAAATGAGCAACAACAATGCAACGTAACTAATATAACCTCACTGAGAGAGGATTTATTTCAAGCAACTTAGTATTTTTACCAAATTTTTACTATTTGTCCTCCGTGGAAAGAACTGGAAAATAATTTCATCCATCAGTTCTCAGTGGTCTCACTGTTTCACATGTCCTCTCTGGTGAGCTCTGACCAGGTTTGGAGTTTAGCTCATTTGCTTTCCCGGAACACCACAGGGGCTGTGGCCACCGGTGGTGGCAGGAATACAAGCCAGCTTGCAAAGTGGGCCAGCGGCCAAGTGATGGCTCCAGATGGCACCTGGGACAAGGAGGGGGACCACTGAGATCCTTTCGTCCAGTTTTTCCTTCTATCAGGACGTGGCAGAGCATGGCATGGACTAGGCTGAGCCTGTGTGGCCAAAAGTAATTTCTAGGGGAACAACTGTGAGTAGGTGAACTAACTAACTAACTAACTAACTAACTAACTAACTAACTCTCTCTCTCTCTCTTTCCTTGCACTGCCTTCCTCATCTGGAAAACCAGGAGACAACTCCTCCCTGCAGAGCTGTTGGGAGGACCAGTCAATTCAGGCACTGTATTAAATGCCTGGCATGTTGCAGGCAGTTAGAATAGAGGTAAATATACACACAGATGTGTTTGTCACTCACTTATTCATTTAATATTCACTGAGCCTGGTGCAGACTCTGGAGCCACAGAAACATATAAGACATGATTCTGCCCCCAGGTTTTGCGGGGAGACAAACACATCAGACATTATAGTTCAGAATATGCCAGGCCATGTGTGAGGGGCAAGGAGGAATGAATGTAACCACAGCTCTGCAAGGTAACACAGCCATCAGATTACTATTTATTTCAATGAGATACACTGTCTACTTTGGGTTGGTTCGCGGAAGTGAATGCGACCTATCGCAGTGAAATGGATGCATTTGGAGGGCATTTACTCATTCATTCATTCCTTTGACAATATCCATCCGCCGGGTAGTCTCTCTATGCCTGGCACTGCTCTGGGTGCTGGGGATACAGCAGAGTTTAGGGCAGCGAAAAATCCCTACGCTCATGAGCTTATTACATTCCAGTCTGGGGGAATCAGAGAAACAAATCCATAAGTAAACTCCAAACTGCGTTACATCAACTCTAAGATGCCGTCAATTATTATCAAGTATACTATTTAAACTCAGGCACTGCAAAGAAAGAAAAATAGTTGCCAATTAAATGAGAAACTGTCCTCTAGTATAAACTGCACCTTGACTTCAGAGACGATAAAATGTGAAAATAACATATATCCCTACATCTGTGACAGAAAGAAGTGTTAGGTGGCGCGAAGCTGCAGAGAAAAGTAATACAGGGGAAGGGAACAGAAAGGGGACAGGAGCGGAGGGGGGCTGTGATTGTGGAAGAAAGACCTTACTGAGGTGGGTCACACTTGGGAAAAGAGAATTCCAGTCCAAGGGGACAGCGAGTGCAATGGCCTGCAAGGGGGAGCAAGCCAGTGTATTTGGGGGCACAAAAGAGGCCAGAGGAAGTGTTGAGGATGAAATCCGAGGCACCAAGAAGCAGATCCTGAGGGCCCTGGAGGCCCAGGGAAGGGTCCCGGTGTTGGCTCTAGGTGCAGCAGAAGCCACAGAAGAGTTAAGCAGAGCAGTGGAGTATGTGCAGAACAGAGAGGAAAGGAGGCCGGGCAGAGGCAAAAGACAGCGCAGGAGATTCCCACAAAACTCCCAGTGAGCGCAAAATTCCTGGTAAGCGATGACGGTGGGTGTGGCAGTGGCGAGAGGTGGGTGTAGTCTTGGGGTCTTTCAAAGGTGGAGCCACCAGGAGCTTCTGAAGGATTGGACGCCAGTGGAGGGAGGCAGAAGAAAGAGAAGGGTCAAGAACGACTGTGGTGTCTTGCCTGGGCAATGGAAGAGTGGGCTGCCATCAGCTAAGACAGTGAGGACGTGGGAGGAAAGATAATGGGCGTGCTTGTGGTCAAGTCCATTTGAGATGCCTCCTGGACATGCGAGAGATGTGGAATAGACAGTGGACATGCAAGGTAGAGAGGCCCAGGCTAGAGCCATTTGCGATGGTGTTTGCAGCTGGGAGACAGGATATCACTAAGGGAGTGAATGCAAACAGGAATGGGAAGAGGACTGAGGCCTGAGCCCCGGGGCCCTCCAACCGAGCGGTCAGGGAGCAAGGAAGCAGCAGCAAAGGAGACACAGGGAGAAGCAGGTGATGTGGGAAGAATGCTAGGAAGGGGGCTGCCTGCACAGAACCTGTGCTGACCGGCACTGACCGGCTCTGAGCTTAGTGGATGGGAGTGGGCACCCGGGGCCCAGGTGGAAAGCCTGTGACCAGTTCTGCTGCACTAAAGCACCCGATAGTACCACTGCCTGCGATACTGGGGAGGGCGGGCGACGTGTTCCTCCAAACCCATCGTCTAGGTCTGGGGACACGAGAGACACGCACGGCCACCCTGACGGGAACGCTGTGAGAGGTGGAGCAGTGCAATGCCTTTGCATAAGGGACGCGGGACCTGGGATCCCTCCAGGCTTCTCCACCTGTTCACTGGATGACCCAGGCATGTTACTGAGCCCTCGGGGCCTTCGCTCCTTACCTGTCAGAGGACACTGACCCTAATGCTCCTTCCCTGGGCTGCTGTGAGGATTAAGTGAGATACTGCATGCAAAGTTCCTAGCCCAGGGCTAGACACACGGACACGCTCAGGACGGGCACGCTGTTGTTGCCTGGCTGCAGAAACAGCTCAGAACAGACCAGGGACTGACTCCACAAGCGCAGCAGCGAGGGCGTCTCTGCATAGAGGCCGACAGCCCTCTCTCCTGTGTCTCACCTCCTAGCCTTCTCCGGCCACCACGACATGACACCCTGACACTCCATGCCCCCACGGGATACAGAGAAGTAGGTCTCCCATTGGCCACAAATGGAGACAAGCCACACTGGGATGAATGCTTGGCTGCTGCCATGGCAACCAGTAATGGCCAGACTTCAGTTAGGGAGGAGGAATAAAAAGCATCCAATTCGGAGAAAATAAGACAGAATCTCTTCCTGTGTAAGCATGGCCAGGGCTTAGGATGCTGCTCTCCACCGGGGGAGCCCAGGTTTGGAAACGTGCTGTGCTCTGCCATTCAGTGTCCTCCATGCTTGAGGAACCTTTGGTCACCACCCTACCTGGGGGCTCCAGGGAGCACTGTGCTGGCACCCAGGGCGTGACCTGGGTGGGCTGCAGAGGCGGGACCGCCCGGGTTTTAATTCTGCACCTGCCACTTTCTGGCTGTGCGGCCTTGAGAAAGTTCTTTCTCCTCTTTGTGCCTCGGTTTCCTCACTGGTATAACAGAACCTGTTTTGTAAGACTGGTGAGGATCCACAGAGAAAATACACATAAAGAGCCAAGGTCAGGGCCTGCCGCCTAAATTGCATAACGGTCAGTAATGGATCAGAGCAACAGCAGCAGAGACAATGATGTCCCCCAGCTAAGGAGGGAGAGGAAATGGTACCCAGTGCAGGCTCTCCACTGCTTTGCATCCTTGCCGTAGGCACAGCAGCATCGACATCACCTGGGAGTGCGTTACAAATGCAGAATCCTGGGCCCCATTCCAGACTTGCTGGACCAGAATCTGCACTCTAACCAGAGCCCCAGGTAACACGTGTGTGTTTCATAAATTTGGGAAGCGCTGCTTAAGGGCCTCATTTAATCCAAAGAGCACCACCCACCTGTCTGATACAAAAACAGAGACGGAGGATTGACTTGTCTCAGGGAACGTGGCAGGGAAGCACAGGGCTGGTGACCCCGACCCAGGGCCAGCATTCCAGAGATGTGGCCCCACAATTCCACGGCAGCCAGGGATTTACACCACAAGCACATCGGGGTCCCCACTAGGGGCTGAGGCCTGTGGTTCACATCAGGAGAAAGGAGACCGGCCATCCACAAGCAAGACAGCCATGCTGCCACTCCTCAGCTTCCGTAGGATTTGGAGGTGTGCATACCCCATTTTTCTCCTCTGCTTATGCCCATGTTTGTCTCTGTGACCTCGACCTGTCACCTCCGACATGGTCCTCATCAGTGCATCATGGATCCTTGGTGGTTTACGTGTTAGCAATCAAAATTGGCTCCTTGACTACATGGTTCCCCAAGGTACCCCTATCACCCCACAGGTTCTCAGGAAAGATGACAGCGAGCGGAGCGACCTGCTAGGTATAAAGCCCACGTCTGAGCTCCTCTGTGCCCACGAACTGAGTTATTGTTCCCGTACTCAGAACTCTGAATGGCACAGGCTTAACACGGCCCTTCCCTTCTTCTAATTCACTTGTGCATCACAACAAGCCCCTGAGTTGGCAATGAATCCCCACTTCGCCTATGAGAATGCTAAGCAGCATCTCTATGCAGTTGGGTCGCCTGTCTCTAAGGGACTGGCTTTCTTGGGACACAAATGCACCCAGTTATCTCCAATCCTGACTCCTGCCAAAGTGGGGAGGGGAGGGAGAAGCCTTCCTCCAGAGAGGGGATGAGTACCGGCCCCATCCAATGAGAACCTACTGCGTGCCAGACATCTGAGTAGGTGCTTTACATGAACTGTCTCATTTAACCCTTATAATGATTCTTCTAGTGGCCACAAGGGGGGGCATCATCGCATTTTATGGCTGAGTAAATAGGCTCAAAGAAGTGAAGTAACTCGCCCAAGGCCACCCAGCTACCCAGTGAGGGGTAAGGGTGGGAGTTGAGCCCCTGTGTATTTGTTCTCCTGTAATGCCGTTCGGTAAAGCTATTGTACGTGGCTAATTAACTTCCTAGTTCTGACATTTTAAACAACACTTTCAGCCCTGGCTGGTGTGGCTGGGTGGACTGGGTGCCGGCCCGTGAACCAAAAGGTTGCTGGTTCCATTCCCAGTCAGGGCACATGCCTGGGTTGTATGCCAGATCCCCAGTAGGGGGCGTGAAGAGGCAACCACACATTGATGTTCATCTCTTTCTCCCTCCCTCCCCCTCTCTCTAAAAATATATAGTTTTTTGAAACATGATTTATCCTTAAAAATGAAACACATGCACATTTCCAGGTCCATCTCTCTTCCTCCTGCGAAGCAAGACCCCCGCCCCCAGCAGGTCTGCCTGCCTGTGGAAGACTCTCCACCCAACGGCGCAGATGAGCCTGCCACCTCCTCTCCCTGCAGTGCAAGGTGGACCGATTCCCAGAAGGACAGAAGGTGGGACAGACAGACAGACACGGCCCTCACCAGGCAATCCTCCAGATGGCTCTGGTTGGTGGTACAGACGTCGACTCGTAAGGTCTTCTGGTGAAGGGCTGGGTAGGACATGGACACCCAGAACACCTCGTTGAACGTGACGGTGTCCGAGGCGTCCAGGGGCCGTGTCCGAAACAGGCAGGTGGTGCTTTCGCAGCAGGGGAGGACGGCCACCCGGATGTTCCTGGAGGGAGACAAACGCAGGGGGGCCCGTGTCAGCCCAGACGCGGGGCGGAAGTGTTGGGCTGACCGGATGCTGCGAATGCCAAAGCAAACGAGCGGACCGGGTTTGTCGTTTCTCAAATCATCACACATCCTGTGTGAAGGATGCAGAAGGGCCCCTAAGGATAACACATGGCTCTTCCTTCTCCTGAATCCCCTAAACCCTCAGCACCTCAAAGTGCCTGGAGCCTGAGGCCAGCAGTGCGCAAAGTTCCACGTGCAGGAGGATCGGCCAGGCTGCGTGTCGACACCTTTTACAGCTGCTGGTAGGAAGGCAGAATGTGACGACAATCTGAACAAAAACACCCGTGCCTTTACCCTTTGGCCCAGACAGCTCACCACTGGGCACTCGCATGGACGCCCCAGCAGGAGCAGCAATGAGCTACGAAGGTGATTCATCCTGGCACTGCCCGGGCCAGCCTGGGCCACAACACGCTCCCGTGTCCTATCTCATCTTCCTTCTGTTTCACCGCCTCTCCTCCTCCCTTCCTCCTTTCCACGTGCTGCACCCTAGAAGCTGGTGGGGCGCAGAGCATGGGAGCACAAGCTCCTGTTGCTGTCGTCAAGGCCGACGGTGTCGTGAAAGGAGACCAGCAGGCGGATGAGCTCAGTGAAACAGAAACTGGGTCGGCAAGGAGCAGCGCCCATGGGCGGACAGTGAGGGTACTTGCTGTGTGATCAATTTCAGGGTGACCCCCAGCACACCCTTCAACAGAAGCCCAGAGACGGGTGCCAACTCTCGAACGGCAGACCTGCCTCTTTCTGCGTGGAACACTTGAGCTGAGAGCACGTAAAAGGACCCACAACCACCTTCTCCACAAGGCTTCAAGCTCACACTGGCAGGGACTTGCTCACTACCCTGTTCTTCATGCTGGCATGTGGTGGGTGCTCAGAATGTGCTTGTGCGGGAATCACTGTGCAGAGGGCTTCTCAGTATAGTTGGTGTGTTTGCAGTCACACCCGCACCCACATTCACTGTGCCGGTACTTTGCAGTAGGCACGCCACACCCACAGTGGGTTTACGGGGCCCACTGTCGGAGCAGGACAGAGCAGAAGAGGGGCCCCGGGGATGGCCACAGAAGAGCCAACAGCCCACCCTGTCAGCTCTACATACTCACACTTTCTGGTCTTGTTGCAGCAACAGGGCAGAGAGGTTGCTCAGCTGGATGATTAATATTGCAAATTGCTTATTCTTCTCGTCATACCTGAAGGCAAAAGGGGCAAGTGGCCCAGCGTTTAGTAACACATCGATCTCCCTCTTCATAGTCTCAGATGTGGCTGTGCTGGAGAGCACAGGCCCAGCGCTTTGCTGCTATTCAGGAAAATAGGAGCTATCTGTCCGGATTTTTAAAGAAAGGCCAGAAGTTTGTGTAAAATTAATTTCCTGATATTTAAATGTTGGCAATGAATGCCTATCAAAGAAATATTGAGGACATCCCCCATCAAGAGAAAATGAGAATAGCAAAATTATGGCTGCTGCCTCCAGGGGTCGACCTCGGTCCAGGTGGCTGCACCCCGGAGGAGATAATAGGACAAAAGTGACTGTAACGATGACCAAACAGACCGGGAGGCAGCAGGTTTCGGTCCTGGTCTGGCCCTGCCACTGGCCAGCTCAGTGAGTCGGGGCAAGTAACGAGGTCTCTAAAACCTTATTGTTCTCTGTGGTAAAACGGGGAGGCTTCCTTTTAACTAGGAGCCCCGCCCACTCTGCCTGGAAGCCGGGGCCTCCGAGGAACAGACCCTGCACAGACCACTCACTCCCCTCTGTCCCCACCACCCGGTGACTTACTTCAAGGCAATCTGAACCCGGGTTGCTCCCACTGCTTCTGATTCGTCACCGTCCAAAGCAGGGACTTCCGAAGCCCCGAGTCTGGAAGGTGACAGGGGAGAGAGAGCCGGTCACGATTCCCTGCAGTGGCCTGGGTTCTGTCCGGGCAGGGGCAGAGTGGTGGGGGGCCCACCCAGACTCCCCGCAGACCCCGAATCCCCACGCCTGCTCCAGACCCCTCTCCTACAGGGGTCTGCCTCTTCTCCCTCTTCTCCAGGATGTGCTGCCCTGCTTTTACACCCCGTAATGGCAGCCACAACACAAGGGCTCTTCCGAATGTGAAACGGCCCCGGCCGCAGGAGGAGCTGCGCTGTCTGCCTCTCTGGCACAGCCCCAAACAGGGCTCCTGGGGGTAATGTGGGGTCCCCCGGACGTGCCCTCCTATAGGTCCCTCCCACATACCACGGGGACCCAAAGTATGCAGATTCAAAGTTCCCAGCATCCAGGACCCAGGGACCCACCTCTGCACAGAAGCCTCATATACACCACTGTCCCCAGCCACGGATTCATCCGACACTGCAGCCGAGACACAGGTCGCCTTCAGGCCACACCCCTGGGTCGCGCTCACAGCTGGAGGAAGTGATGGGAAAGGGGTGGTGAGGTGAGGTTCAGAAACCAGGGTACTGTTCTTTGCAACACACACGTCGGATCCACCCATCTTCTGCCCTACGTCAGTCCCGACCAATTCCAACCACCTCTGAACTCAACAGCCCGGTCCTGCCTTGCTTTGGGGCAAAGAAAGGGTGGCGTCTGATTCTGTGTTTGACACCACAGACCCTGGAGTCGACCTGCCTGGGTTCAAATTTCAGATCCACCACTCACGGCTTCAAGACACAACCTTTGTAAGTCCCAGTTCCTCATCCATAAACCGGGGAGAACACTTATCCTGTAGGGCAGCTGGGGGGACTCAATGAGACGTGACAGGGGAGTTTGTGGCATAGAGACTGGAGGGGACAGAGCCCTATAAAACCCATTACCACCATCCTTACTGCGATGCCATCCCATGCCTTCCAGATGGATCCCTACACTGCTGGGGCAAAATAACAGCCCCTGGACACTTGGGAAGGGTGAGGGGAAGGACTAAAGCACTGGCTGTCCCACTCTGCCTATCCCGCTCCACTCAACTCAGCTCATCCTCCTGCCCTTGATGGAGACGCTCAAAAGTCTCCAACCCGAGACTCAGTGCCTGCTGCACCTTCCTGCCTGTGCTGAGTCACGGATTCCAATGGTGTGCCAGGCCCGTTGCCAAGTTCAGAGCCACCAAGATGAAAAGGACAGTTCCTGCCCTCTGCACAGTAGGTAAGGCCACATTCAGGTCCCTTGACCTCCCAGCCAGCCCTACTGGGCACCTGTTATGTGCCAGGCACTGGGGGTAGACTAGAGAAGAGACCCGAGTGGGCGGGCTGGGGAGAGCGATGCCCCCGCCAGGAGACTGTGGGATGCAAGCGGCCACCTGGGCGCGGCTTTCCCAGCCTGGGTCCCACTCTGCTGCAGCCTGCAGGCCTCCTGCCTCTGGACCCCCTCCTCTCCACCCTCCACTAAACCACTTAAGAAGATTAATTTGTCTGCTGACTGAACAGCAGCACTAATCGCATAACCTGCTTAGCGTCTGTGCTCAGCCTGGCATCAATCACTGCGGGAAGGTTCTGGAGGCGGCAGGAGGAAAACGCCACCCCAAGACACGCTGTCTCTGGCCCGCAGCCCCAAGGACGCTGCAGAGGAGAGGAGAGGGGTCACTCCTGGAACCCAGGTGGGGCCTGAGGGTCCCGGGCTTGATTTAACGCCCCCCTTGGGTGGCATCTTGTGGAGTCTCATCAGAGGTTCCACCTGAACCTCCTTGTCTCCAGGGAACAATTTTCTGAAGTCTGTCACCTGCTGTAGCAGGGAGCCTGTTTTTATTTTGGTTTGAGAGCACTCAGCATGATTCCCTCCCCGATGAGAGGCCCTGGGGATCTCTCGGTTCCTCATCTAAGGCAATGGCTGGCAGACACTCAGCAGAGCCTTTAATTAACCAGGAAATCCCGGACTCCCCCCTTGCGGCCACTGGCCTCTTCTTGCACACAAATGGGTAATTCTGACCAGCATTGTGGCCCTCCTGCCCATTCCCGTAGCTCACGGCTGAGGTGGATCCAGCTTCTAGCTGGCTGCACAAGGGGACATGAGTCCCCTCTGTCTGCCCAAGGCAGATACAGCTGGCACAAGCCCTCTGTGGGTTCTGGGCAGGCCTGACGCCAACCTTGACTGTGCATTTCCTAGCTGTGACACTGACCTTCAACGTTTAAAGTCATTTATCTATTACCACAATGCCCCACTTGTTTTATCCACGTTAAGGGGATAAAGCGGCACTCACCTTAAATGAGCAAATACGCAGGACAGTACCAGGGCCTTGTATACCTGTACTCAGTTAAGTCATAGCCTGGGAAGGCCAGAGTCCCAGGTGAGCTAACTGAGCACCCTGCTCGGTCCTGACCTGCACACCCGGGGCCAGGTGGGCGTGGCGGGGCGGAGAGCATCAGGAGCGTCCCGGGAATGAACATGCTGGGCTAGCTCACAGCCTGAGAGCAGTGTGACAACAAGGGTAGTGGGTTCTCGGGTAAGAGGAACCCAGATTCCAATCCTGGCACTCTCAGTTCTGCCGGGGGGGTGCCCTATATCAAGTGGCACCCCTTTGCTGAACCACCATTCCCTCCATCCGTGAAAGGGGCACAAGTAACCTACTGCACCCTGGAAAGCACATGGCCCACCATCTCTTGCACCCCAATCGATGTTAGCGGTTACGATCTGTTATTCGGTTTTCTCTCACCAAGTCTCAGCTGTCATCCTCAGCATCATCTCTGATTCTGAAGTTGCCCACTTGACTCTCCATTCTCACCAGCGTGCCCCTTCCGACCCCGTGCAGAACGGGAGTCAGACCCTTTCACTCCCTGGCTTCAGGCACGCGGATCCCCGGTGTAGTCAGGATGAAATCCAAACACCCCACCAGGCCTCCTGGGACCCAGAATCCGCCTGACTCTCCACCCTTGAGAGGGGGCTACCTCTCACATAAAGTGACCCCCTATGTCTGGTCTCTCTTGCAGCCCCCTTGGCTCCGGCCTCAGAGATGTTTCTCCTGCTTCTCCCAGGGCTGGCTCCTTCTCACTGTGGAAGCCTCCGTCCAATGTCACCTTCTTCCCCAACCCAACCTGAAAGGTTCCGTCATTTACACCTGTGCTTCCGGAGATAAGGACCTGTCTGTCCTGAACTGCATCCTTGCAGCTAACTCAGAGCCTGGCCCCTAGCCTACCTACTGAACAAATCAACAGACCTTGTACACTCATTAACACAGGGCCTGCCATTTAGATTTGGTGGGTACTTAATGATTATCTGTTGAATGAATGAATCTAGCATGGAAAACCCTTAGCCTAAGACCTGGAACATGATTAAGTACATAAACACCTACTGAATGAATAAATAAATCGATAAACCATGTAAAGAGCTGGCACACAGAAAGCAGCCAGTAAGTAATGACTACAGGAATCGCTGGGGTCCACGTGCCCACCTTCCTGCCTCGTGGAGGCCCCCACCCGCCCTGGATGTGGTGTTCGCTACCTTGGCCCAGCTGCTTGCTCTCCGTTCCTGGCTCCTCCAGCCGGTACCTCTCCTGGGTGCTGCTGCCAAGGCTCAACTCGCAAAGAGCGGCGCTCAGCTCCAGATCTTCGAACTCCAGGGGGCTCAGGAAGGCGTCTCCAGCCAGGAGGGGGTCATCGATGAGAGGGGAGCAGGGCGGGGAGAGGGAGGACAAGGAGGAGCGGGGAGACAGCGAGGTCATGGACTTCGGGGTGCCGGACAGGGAGCGCAGGGGCTGCAGGCGGCCGCCCCCCTCCGCCTTCTGGGTCTTGGCCACCTCGTCCTCGTGAATGGTGGTGATGCACCCCGAGGGCCGGAAGCCCGTGGCCCCATCCTGCAGCAGGAACTCCACCTTGCTCTGCAGTTCCGAGTCTAGTGGCTCGAAGGGGTCATAGTAGAGGTCGGTGAAGCTGGCGGAGGTGGAGGAGTCCAGGCTGGAGGCGGCCAGGGAGCCCCGGCTGGACGTGAGGGACCCAGGGCTGCTGCCCGAGGACAGGGACTGCATGCTGCTCGAGAGGCTGGGGACAGGGAGGGGGCGGAGGGTGAGGACACGAGGAGTGGCTGGGACACCTGGGACTCCCTGCCGGGTGCTGAGAAGCACTGGAAGTACTTCAGAGTACACTGTCCTGTCGGGCCCTCCTGACAGTCTCCGGGGTGGACCACGCGCCCCAGTTTCCTTAGAGAGGAAATGGGTAACTAACAAGGCCACACAATCGGGAAGCGGCAGGGCCGGGATTCAAACCCAAGCCAAGTGCCTTCGAAGTTCATTTTTCTCCCCCATGGGCCTGTTTCCCCAAACCTCTGCTGGCTGCATTCCATTTGCACAACATTTTTCCATATTTGATTTAGCCTGAAATAACACTTCTTCATATTTTAATGCAAATCAACTCAGATTTTTCTGCTTTAACACGTATCTTAAAAGGAAATGTCGTATCCTAAGTGTAATATGAAAAGCAGTATCACTTACTACAAATAGAAGGCAACTGTTAGAATGGCTGACAAAACCCAACGTTATAAAACTCCAACCCCACTGCCGCCCAGCAAGGCCCAGGCCGGAGGGCTTCTCTCTGTGTTGTGGAGGGGGGACGCCTACACTCAGCCTGCCCGGGACAGCAGTGTCCCCACTGGCCATCACTCACCTCTTCAGCTGGGAATGCAGAGCTGCCACCTGCCGGGTGGCTTCCTCCAGTTCTCTCACCAGCTGGTTCCTCTTACTGTTTAACTTTAACCTGAGGGCAGAGAAGGCATGAGGGGGCTCCCTGAGGAATCTAGCCTCCGCCTGCCCGGAAGAGGAATCATAGGCATGTATCCATGGAGATGCACGCACAGACACACAAGAACCTTCCGGAAGCATTTCGCTGTGGTGTTGGGCGAGACACGGCCTCGTACATAATCCCACAGTAGGTGCTGCATTCACCAGCCACATACCAGGTGCTGTGCTAGGAAACGCACGGCACGGTTTTAGCTCATTTGCACATTAACCCTGCATGGTAACAACGGCTCTCACCACTTTACATGCGTGGAGACTGAAGTTCTTAGATTAAGTAATTTACTCAAAGCTTCAGAAGTAGTGGCGGGGTTAGGGTCCCAGCGAGTGCCCGCACCTCGTGCCAGACCATTGTGGGCACCAGGGGTAAAACTGTGGGCAAGGCAGCACTTACTTCTGCTCTAAGGGAGCTCACATCCTACTGGGGAGGGTGGGAGGAGAAGACATACTGAAAAAAATACCCAAATACCCAAAATCCAATTGGCCCAGCATGACAGGGTCCATGCGGAAGCAGTAATGCAATGGCAGAAAAGAACTAAAGGAAAGACCCAACTTGGACCAGTGGGCGAGCCTCTTTGAGCCAGTTACACTGGGGCTGAGGCCGCTGGCACTCCCTGGGATCCGAGTCCTCCTCTGCTCCCTGGACTGGCAGCTGGGCCCCCTTCCCGACTCCCTTGCAGCTGGGTGGGTGGGACATGTGACCCAGTTCTGGCCAATCGGATATGACAGAAGGGATGTGCAGGCCGATATGGTTAAGAGAGTGGGTGGGTCTTGCCCACTCTCCCTTGAAGGCCTCTTACAACCTAAAAGGAGAGGTGCCACAAGCCAGGAGGAGCCTGGTCCCCAAATGACAAACCACAAAGGCCCTGTAACGAAGACCAGAGCGGGCTCTAACCAACTGAGAAGTGGTAAGGGATGGGCAGGGCCTGTCCCTGGGCAACTGAACCTGAGAAATTCCAGGAGAGACAACTGGAGCAGTAGGCAGAGCAGGCTTGGCATGGTCCTTGGCTGCCCCAGTCCCTGGTGCTGTTCTTCCAGAGCCCTGCCCGGGGCAAGACAGGCAGGAGATGGGCAGGAGTAGTGTGTAATGAACAAAACCCTTGACTCCGCATAAAATGAACAGGACCGTGAAATCTCCTGACCCTCCATAAGAGTGAAGCCCTGGAAGAATGAAGTCAAGGAGCAGCTGGGGCTCACCATTTCTACCTTTGTTTTCCTCTTTGCTCGGAAAAAAACCAGAGGCCTGTTACGGGAGTCAAAGCAGGTCCCCACTGAAGCCCCAATAGGCTGCTGGGGGGACCAGAAGTCAGGTGGCCTTGACTCCCTGGGCACAGGGATGTAGCCATTGGGCAAGAACACACACAGGTGCCGCAGCTGCCTCCCGGAGGCTTAGCAGGCCAGATGGCATTTGTGTGTGAAGCTGGCACATGCTGGGAGGCCAAGAGCACATCAAGCATCGCAGGCACAGGCTCCAGAAGGTCCATGAGCCTGGCTCAGCACCTGGTGTGCTGGTTAAAAATGCAACAGCCTGGGCTGCATCTCAGGCCTGGGGAGCAGGGCCCTGGGGGACGGGGTGGGGGCAGGGCAGAGAGTCCACACTCTTATCAAGCACTCAGTGTGACTGCCCATCAGCTCGCAGAAGGGGGGCCCACAAAAAGGACGCGGAGAGGGGGAGGGGTGTCAGGATGACTGTGATTCTGAGTGGTTTGGGACTGGCGTTTGGCAGGCCCTGTGGCGTGGCTTAACTGGGAGTCTATTGCTGTGCCTCTTAAAGGCACCTTGAATGGAAAGGCTACTTCGTGAAGAAGAGGAGCATAATACTCTCATTTTAAGAAAGAGAGGAGGAACAGAAGATACAAAGAAAAAATGAGAGACCCAGAAAGAAAACGCGTCGGAAGGATGGACACAGACAGACAACCATGGGTCTCGGCAAACAGCTGTGGATGCAAGACCGCTGAGTCAGCTTTCTCCTCTCCTGCAGAAGGCTCTCAGCTTTCCACACTGTCCCTACGTGTCCCGAGGCTGCCCTCTGCATGTCCCCCAGAGGACCCTGTCCTCGGGGACCTTCAAGTAACGTCTCAGCAGCTGCTGGGGAGTGGCGGTTCTGGCTTCCCTAGACTGGCTCTGTGAACTCACTGTCCCAGGGAAGCAATCGGACCTTTGAAAGACGGGGCTGAAGGCAGTAATAAAAGAGCTTCTGTCCTGTCCCCCAATCTGCAACTTCTGGAAAATTGTGAGATCTCTGAACAGAGCGTTCTCAGGGCGGAGCCCAGGCACCCTGGGTTGTAGCCCTCACCCTGCTCCCCTGCCGGGGGCTGGAGTGCAGGCCTGGCAGTGAAGGAAGGGTCCCCTGCCCCCTCCCGGCCCCAGCCCAGCCCCACCTCTCCGTCAGTGCCTTGCTCTGGGTGTCCCGGGCTGCCTGCAAGTCCTTCTCCAGCCGCTTCCGGGCCATCTCCAGCTGCTCCACCTCCCCTTGGGTCCACTTCCGGGGGCTGATGAAGCGCATCTCCTTCAGCAGCTCCTCCTTCTCATTGATGAGGATCAGCCGGTCCCTCTCCGAGTCCAGCACTCCGGGCCAGGCCTCACTGTCCAGCTTGGCCAGCTGGATCTTCAGGTTGGCGATCCTGTGGGCCGAGAAGGTGAGTGTGACTGGCGTGCCCATGGCATTGTGGGAGCAGGGTAACAAATGGCACAGTCAAGGTTATGAGGTACAAGGAGCCCTGACATCCTCTGAGCAACCTCTGACAGTTACTGACTTCCTTTGGCTCAGAATGTGGTCTCCCAAACCTATTTTTACCTGGCAGACCCATTCGGTGCCTACCATGTGCCGACGATGAGCAGGCTCTGCAGGGCTGGGGCAGAGACACGAACATGGCAATGGCCTTGCCCGGGGCGGGGGGTGGCCACTGAGGCTGGCAGAATGGAATAGAGAGCTGGATTCATCACCAGGCTACAGCCTCTTACCACCACTAGCTATGTGACCCGGGGCAAGTCACTAATCTCTCTGAAGGGTGTAACCATTCCTCCCAAGTTGTGGCTCCAGGTTTTAACGACACAATTCGAAACCTCTCAAAGCACTGCGCTTGGAACACAGAAGTGCTCTATAAATGTCTCCGCTGCCTCTGTGGTTATTACCTGGTTTGATCATGTATTAAATACATAACATTGGGCAAACGCCCTGAACCTTGTAGATAAAACACTTATTCACTATTTGGAGCTGCTGTGAAAGTGAGCAGTAATGGAGTCAGAGTGTCGGGTCCATGACCGGCAGTAAACCAATGGTGGGTGTGGGCCCACTACAACCACGACACAGTGACCACTGCTAACCACAGGTCTCCGATCCAGAGAGCACAACAGCACCGTGTGGGCAACTGTGGATTGGGGCTGGAGGCCGTGAGTTGCAGCTTTGGCTCTGGCCTCGCTGATGAAAGGTAATTTTTGTTGAGAAATACGTTTTGTATCATGAGTTTCTAGTGCAGTGCCTGGGACGCTGCAGGGACAGAATAAATGTTATAGAAGAGGGAGCCCCATCCCTTAACTCCTTTGAGACCCAGTACCCTCACCTGTGAGGTGAGGGGAGATGGGTTATGAGCACCAAGTGAGAACATGCCAGTAAGCTCTCTTTATAAGCTGCCAGGTGCTTACAGGTATTAGACATGCTTATTCTTTTAAAGATTTTATTTCTTTTTAAAGTGAGGGTACGGGAGGGACAAAGAGTGAGAGAAACATCAATCGGTTGCCTCTCATATGCACTTGGACCAGGGACTGAACCTGCAACCCACACATGTGCCCTGACTGGAATCAAACAAGTGACCCTTTGCTTTGAAAAACGACACCCAAGCAACTGAGCCGCACCAGTCAGGGCAACATGAGGTATGATTATTGCTGGACCAACATAAGATTCCAGGCATAATTAAGAGTACCGATGCGATCACATGATCCTTTCGGGTTTAGCCTGTGCAAAGTGCTCTCGGCGACCACATCCCAGCCTCTCCCAGCCCCTAAAGGGTGGGTCAGACCCGGTGGTTAACCCCGCCATCCGGTAAGGACGAGGCTCACCTAAGACCGGAAGTTGTAAGTGTGTGTAAAACCTGCTGAGAGCCCAGGCCTCTGGACCCCCACCCGGTCTGATCAGATCTGCTGACAATGGGGTCCAACTCGTATTTCATCAAAACTCGGTGGGAGGCCCTGGCCAGGTGGTTCTGTTGGTTGGGGTGTCAGCACATGCACCAAAAGGATGCGGGTTCGATCCCCAGCTGGGGCGTGTACAGGAGGTAAGAGATCAGTGTTTCTGCCTCACATCAATGTTTCTCTCTCTATCAGTAAACATGTCCTCCGGTGAGGGCTTAAAAACAAACACAAAAAAACACGGTGGGAAACTGGATCTGCGTGCTGCGTAGTGAAAATTCTTTACAGAGAGACACATCTAAATTTGCTTACTCCCCAGCCAAGTGTCTCAGCACGCACAAATTCTTCAGAGTTAATTTAAATCCCACATTCACACCTCTAGCAATCCATCAAGACTGATTGGGGGGTAACTCCCTGGCTGCTGTCCTCCAGCGGCTTTGGAGACAGAGGGAAACGGCCAAGTCTAGCTGCGGCCCCACTACGTGTGGGACCACAAAGGGGTCATGGATGCTTTCTTGGATGTTCTTTTCGGTGGCTCTCTCCCGACGCCAGCGCGCCTCAAACTCCAGGCCGTCCACCCTCTGGAGAATCGGATGGAACTGCTACACTCACTGCCCAGAAAGGCCCATGTGACAGAGCTTGGCATACAACAACCTGACCTTGCACTATAGCCACCTGCCCTCGGTCCTTCAGGTCCTGCAGCCTCTGCCTTCCCACTCAGCAGGCTGCGCTGTCCCTTACAACTAATGACACCAGAGCTCTGGGGGAGGGGGAGGCGGGAAGATGGATTAAGACAGAGGAGTCGGGGTGCGAGGAGGTGAGGTGTGCTGAGACTTCAGAGACAGGGAGTGGAATGGCTCAGCACCAGAGGGAAGATTCCAATCTCCCAGTCTCTCCAGAACTGATCCCCGCACACGGGCATTACTCCAAACTGGACAAGACCCAGGGTTCGGAGTCGTCCCCTTCAGAGGGGACAAGAAGTGGCTGTCCAAATGCAGAAGTCCTGTTGTTTGGCAGGACCTCTAGGGGGAGCTGAAACAGTACACAGAAGTATTTTCTCCCCACCTGACCAGTATCCAACGTCTCCTTCTTTTTTCGAAATCTTCCAAAGTTTCTTCAGGAAATCGCTCCTCCCATAGCTTCACTTGGTTCCCACAAAGCTGAAGTCAATCTCCCTCCTACACCTGGACTCCTGATCATTCTAATTCTCCCCACCCTGCATCAATGACTGGTTCACCCAGAAAAGCCGTGAGTCTCAGACTCCAAACTTGTTAAAACTTTTGGGAAAGGCAGGCACTCTTTCCACCAGTAGCACAGAAGCCTAGAACTGCTGGGGGTCATCCTGCCCCTTTGACAGTAAAGTCCATCCACACGAAGACAAGCAGGGTGGAGAAAAGCGATGAGACTGATTCATTGTAGCATCCCTGAAGTCCCTGGATAGAGCTGGGCCTGAAGCTCATTTCCCCCAGGACCTTGGAGTTCAATAAGCCAACAGATTCCGTTTTTTGCTTCCTCTGGCTTCTATCAAATTTCTGTCACTGCTGCTCCCAGAGAGTTGGCAGAGGTGACAAGCTGGGCACTGCCACTCTACCTGGACTGGCTAGGAAGGTCCCTGGGCCACACGGCTTAGCTGGAGGAGAAATGGGTGCAGCACGCCTGGCTTCAGTCAGGAACACCAAGCCCTGAGGGTTCCTTCCTGGTGAAGCCAGGTTCGGTATACACAAGATCATGGGCACGAAGCCAGACTGTCCAGGGTTCAAATTCTGACGCCACCACGTTGGAACACCATCTTGGATCTCACCTTTCTCTTCTCTAACTTGCAGAGAATATGATATAAGCTAGGCTGTAAGGTTGCTTCTAGTATCAAATGAGATAATGCACACGCTGATGCTTTAGTACAATGTCTAGCTCATAACAGATGCTCCAGAAATATCAGCTTTGCTTATTAATTTTATCTGTGGCAGCAGAACTCCACTACTCGGGATTCTGTGAGACCACAGAACATCCAAAGTCACTGGCGTCTCCGTGGTTTAAAAGCGCAGCTTGCTCCCAGTGGGCAGGATCCAGTCCCTTTAGCCTGTTACTAAACCCCAGTTGTGTTCCTTCGAACCACGCTACATACAGGACCAGTGGAAAACTCTGACGACAGAAACTGCCCACCCCTTGTCTAGCTAAGTGTCCCTGGGTCAGTCATTTCCTATCTGAGTTTCAGAGAAGGTTAAAACATGAAGATTGTAATGCTCAGCTTTATAATCTTCGCAGGATTCGGCTAGAGCAGGCATGTAAAAAGCCAGGCACCCAGCTGACCCCCTCCAACAGCCCTTACGGTGTCTGACTGTCCCACCCTCTGCCCCCATTTACCTCCTCTTAGCCTCTTCGTATCGAAGGCGCAATCTGACCTTCTCTGCCAACTGATTGTTGCTGCTGATGCCGAACTGGAGGGAAGGAGGAAGTCAGAAGTTATATGGTTGTTGTGGCCGGTGCTGCGTTGGGTACCAAGAACTCAGGAGGGACTTGACAGCTTGCATGGGAAGCAGCCAGGAACAGCCCCCGGTGACCGAGCAGGCCGGGCGCATCCCAAAGAAGCCAGTTAGACAGAAACCCTTTCCTTCCTTCAGGCCGTGGGAAGAGCCCCAAACACAGGCATCAATCACGTCTAGAAGAGAAGCTTATGGCTCAGAATATCATCCCTGGGCCACAAATGGCCTGGAGCCCATTCAAGCCACAGACGCATGGAGGACAGCTGGTCGGAAGGAAATGGGGACGGCCAACGGACAGGAAAAGCCATTCTGGGGGCACTGCGGAGGAGGTCAACCGGAAACTCAGGAGGCTGCAGCCAGGAGTGAAACACTGGGTGAGTGGGGAGAAGGTTCTAGAACTGGAAGGGGGCACACAGGTCCATCTCAAATATTTCGGCCCACAGCTGGCTTGTAGCTGGACCCGTGGGGGTGGTGGGGGTGGGAGTGGGGTGGGGTAGGCCTGTTTGCCGTCAAGAGCAGCAGGAAGCTACGAGGCTCACCCAGTCAGGCGGGGATATAGCTTCTCTTCACAACCAGTGGGCTACAGAAATCAGATAGGAATAGCATTTTAGCCACAGAGGCTAGGCAGTGACTTGTTCAAGGTCACCTGCTCTAGAACACAGAAGCTCCCCAAAGCAGCGGACTGCCACGGGCCAGGTCACAGGTCTGGCCTGTGGCCAGAACCTGCACCACTCATCAACCACGACCAGACTGAGCTTCGGAACCAGGAGCCCAGCAGCTGCCCGGAAGCTGCATGCATTGTTTGGAGACTAACAGGAGGCAAATGCCCTCTCTTTCCCAGCTGGTGAGAGAAGACCAGAACGGTTCTGCAAAATGGTATGAAGGAACCCAGAGAAAGACACTTGTTCCTTCTAAAACACTTTCTGTGCAGCACCCAGACACAAGCACGTGGCTGAGTGTCAGCGAAGACGTGGACTCAGTGGGAGCTTCTCCTCACACCATTATATTTCAACATGCCGGGGCTGGGAGTTCTGTAAGGGAACGGGGCTCCGGGAGGCTGCGTTAGCAACCAGCTGCACAGAGGGCCGCCCGCCGGCTCCTTCAGTGAGTGATGAGAGGGTGGCCCACCCATTACAGCAGCCTCCCGGTGGCCGTCCCTCAGGAGGCCCCAGCAACAAGCACTGCTACTCACACTTCCCGAGATGTCTGTCTGGGAGCTCACATCCAGGAACTGTTTCGGCAGCAGGAAACCCGAACTCTCCAGAGAGCTGCTGCTGGACCACAGGTCGGAGTGGGACCCTCTGTCGGTCCGGAAGCCATCCTTCAGCATTGCAAGGCTCTGAAGCGGGGAGAACAGGGTCAGTGGCATGCTTTCTGTCCTAGGAGGCAGCTCCAGGTCTGTCACAGTCCATGTACCTTTCTCTCCACCTTTTGTAATCTGGGAGGAACCCACGCTCCTCCAGACATCCTACTTCTGCTGTAAAGAACCAGCAGTGGGTGGGCACTTGCTAGGTGCCATGCACTATGCCACACCCCTTACCGGGGAGGCTGGTGCGGATGCTGGCTCTGGAGCCACGCAGCCTGAGTTAGACCCCCCGTCAGCCACTTCCCAGCTGTGTGACCTGAGCTAGAGGACTGCCCCCCTCTCTCTGTGCCTCAGTTTCCTCTCCTGCAGAAGGGGAATAATCTTAGATCCCATCGCACGAGGCTATGATGCCGGTTAAACGAGATGCCCAGAGTGAGGCACTGGTACAGTCCAGACTCAGAAGCTGTCAGCTTTACCCTGATCTCTCTTAATCCTGGCCACAGGCCTGCCAGGAATGACCCGACAGCATCCCCGCTTTATCCATGAAGGAGCTGTTCCACGGAGAAGCTGGCCGCTGACAGAGCCGGGTTTCCTGGTCTATGTGACATAGACTCAGTGCTCCAAACTGCCACTTACAACAGGAACGTGTCCCACTGCCCACCAGTGCCTGGTCTGTATGTTTTCACTGGGTTGCTGTTCTGGGCAGGAGCTTCAGAATTATCCTGTTTGTGATAGAGGGTGAAGCTTCCTTCGCTAGGTCATTTACAGCCTTTCTAAGCCTCAAACTCTTCTTCTGCTGACGGGAACAATAATATCTCTGAGGTCAGGGGAGTTCCCGTGAGAAGCGGTGGGACGGATGGGGGTTATGAGAATGGGCTTCCGAGACAGGGGTTCATGGGTTTGAATCCTGGCTTTCCCGTGTACTATCTGAGCTATGCAGCCTTTATAGCTGCATGATGGGGATAAACAGGGTTGGTGTCACGGCTAAGTGAGGCACAATGCACACAACGTGCTTGGCATGACTGCCTGGAACATTACTCACACCTGTTATCATCTGTTCGGGTCCCAGCAGAGAGCCAGAATACACAATGAAATGCTCATAAAGATGCTACCTTTTGGCCCTGGCTGGTGTGGCTCCGTGGACCGAGCATGGGCCTATGAACCAAAGGGTCGCCAGTTCGATTCCTACTCAGGGCACATGCCTGGGTTGCAGGCCAGGCCCCCAGTAGTGGGGGGCAGGTACGAGAGGCAACCACACAATGATATTTCTCTCCCTCTCTTACTCCCTTCCCTTCTCCCCTCTAAAAATAAATAAATAAAATCTTCAAAAAAAATGCTACCCTTTGATGTCAAGGTTAACAATGCTGAATCCCCTCCAGCATTCATTTGGTCCTTTGAAAGTTAAGCCAGGTGGCTGCAGCTAGTGGCCAGGGCATGACCTTTGGACTAGAGGGCCCCTGTTTCAACTGTCACTTTACACAGCCGTGTGACCTCAGGCTGGTCACTTAATGCTTCTGAGCCTCCACTTCCAAAAGCCCGAGATAACTAGTGGTGAGAACTCAGTGATTTGCGTAGCACGTGTGGAACTAGCCCATGAGTCCTGGCACAGCAAGGGACCCGGGAGAAATGGAGATGGAGCCCCGGTCACGGGAACTTCGCACCTTAATGAGATCTTGCTTTTCCTTCTCGCCACAGGTGATGGCCTTCTTGATGGCTTTCGTTTCTCTCAAGACAGCCTGGGCTTCATCCAGTTTGTAGCTGCCCTGAGCATTCGACATTTTCTTATCAATTCTAGGAGACAATCAATGGGAAAGGTTAAAGACAAGGCAGGGGAGACGGGGCCCCCCAGGGGGAAGCCCAGACCAAAGAGCTCCATTCCCTCGGGAGGTCCCTCTCTCTGCTCCACCTGTGGAATAAGGCACAGGGGGACCCTGTTCAATTACAAATGACCCATAGTGTGGGACTGCAGCAGCAACACCACTACTGGCGTCAAGGGTCCTCTAAGTGTCAGCTCTTACAGGAAGCCTTCCCAGATTGCTTTCCTGGGTCCTCCAGGCTGCGCTAGGTGTTCCCATAATGCATTGCACATAGCTGCAACACTGTGTCATAGTTAGTCATTTATGGGGTTGTGTCCTTGACTTGGTTCTGGCAGGCTTGAATGTTTGAGTAGCTTTAGTATCTGGCACAGACTAGTCCTTCAATCCAGATCTCTCAGCGTTAGAACTCTTGATATTCAAGGCTGGTGAGTTCCTGGTTGTGTGTGTGGGGGGGGGCTGCCCTGTGTATTGGAGGATGGTTGGTGTCATCCGGGCCTCTGTCCACTGGATGCCAGCAGAATCTTGTCTTCAACTGTGACAACCAAAAATGCCTCCATACTTTGCCTAATGTCTTCTGTGGGAGAGAAGCAAAATCGCCTTCCTTAACAGGCATCTGAGGAGTTAAAACGCCACCATGAAGGAAAGGTTAGAAGGGTGGAATGCACCCCCCCACCACTCAGCAGAGTGACCTTGGGCGTGGCCCCCAGGGACAAGAAGCCTTGGTTTCCTGCTCTCAGAAAGCGGATGATGTCTGCGCCCGGCCCACACCACAGAGCTGTCAGGTGCGGCAAGCAGGATAAAGGATGAAAAATCAGGGGTGAACCAGACAACTGCAAAGGATGCAAATACTTCTAGTCTGGAGCGCTTACAGGTTTATCTAGGTCCTACATACTGGCTCATTTTGATGGGGGTGGGGGTGATAAAAAACGTGAAGGGTACAATGCTTTCTGAAGGTCACCAGAGATGGCTTGGGCCCCCACCCTCTGGGGAAGGGGACTGTGGTGGGGGAAGGTTTAGAGGGCAGAGATGGGTTTTAACTGCTTCCCATTGTCACCCAAGGAGAGGCCTGCGGGGATCCCACGCACCCGTTTGCTCGGGTGGGACACTGCTCACAGGCCATTTGCAGGGGTCTCCCGCCACACTGCCCCAAGCTAAAAATAACCAGCGGAGGGAACCACAGACCCATCCAGGAGCAGGTTTGCATCCCGGTCTCATCATTCGAGCCTCAGGAGGGAGGGAGGGAGGGAGGGAGACCTGACGGAGGTCCTGGCACAGCCCTCCCCCTTCCCATCCGTTAGTTCAGCTCCACGGAGAGGAAACAAAGCCCCATTTATGTCTCCCCACTAAAAATAGCCTGTCTGTTCCTTTCGAGGACTTGGGCCTGGGCAAGCCTGCCAGGTCGGCAGAGGCTGGTCTCAGATTCAGGTTGAGAAATGTGTCTAAAGGGAGCTTTCGGCTGAGGAGTCCTCCCCAAGATGCTGCACAGAGAGGAGAACCACTGAGAGCGAGTGTCCAGGACGGAGGTGGCCCTGCCCCAAGTGGGGGGCGGTGCGTGCAGGGAAGACACTGTTTGCTTGAGCACGTCCAGGGGCTGGGGGCTCTGGGCAGGGGGCTGTGCCCGGCCGTCCTCTGCCAACACAGGGGAGGATGGCTTTGAATCCTCAGCAGGGCCAGACAGAAGCGGTCTGTCTCTGGGCCTCTGGGCCTCGGGCTCCTCACACAGCCTCTACCTGACTTCTCTCAGAGGCCTTAGCAACCCCAGCTCTGGAATTTGGCTCCAGAGCGCAGCCGGCAGAGGGAACGCTCTTGGGACTGGGGTGGGGGAGGGGAACAAAGGGTCACCATTATGTACACAGTGAATGCGTCTTTTTCTTTTTTTTAAGGACAGAGAAAAGTTGTGTGGTTGGGGGGAGGGGAGAGTGTATGTGCATGGGTGGGTGGGAGGATGTCTTAGGATTTCCACATTCTGCGGTGGTCCTTCCTCTCGGCCCCACAGACCCACACAGCCAGGAGCCACAGCACAGCTGGACAGAGAGAAGCAGGGCCAGGCTCCGACGGCAGCCACCTCCCCTCCGTCCTGCCGGGACCACTCGCACCTGGGCAGGCGGCCTTGGGACATGAAGACAGACACCATGCTGCCCTCCCTCCCACAGGAGCAGTGTGCCAAGTCTCAACTCTTTCCTATTCACATGGGCTCAGGGCGGCTGGCAGGCCCCAATGCCCACCATCTATCGTGATTTTTCAGTATCCCCTGAGAGGTACCCCCCACCCCTCGTCAACCTTTTCTTGTGACAGTGGATTGGTGACGGTGACCTTGCATTGCACATGTTAAGTTGATCCATCCTCCACCGAATGCAAAGAGAGGACGCTAAGAGGTAGAAGTGACAGTACTGTCCCCTATTGAGGGGCCTTATATTTTCAGGTGGGTGGGGGGTTGTACCTGGTATGACGGCAGGAAGGAGGTATTAAGACATGAGCTCCAAAATCTGATAACACTGGGTTCCAATCCCTGCTCTGCTGCTTCCTGGCTGGGAGGCCTTGGGTATGTTTTCAACCCACCAGTGCCTCACCTACATACACAAGTGGACAGAACAAACACTTCTCTCCGGGGGGTACAGACAATGGAATGAGGTGACAGGGCCACCGTGCTTACCCAGCACAGCCTCCACTTCCCCCAAGTTCGTTCCCAAGTCCAAGCCAGCAACTAATGAGCTAGAGGTCACCCACCGCATGTGCACTTGACGGGAATTTCCCCATTCACTCTTTACAAGGACATATCCAGATAGAGAAGCCGGAGTTCAGAAGAATTAAGTCCCTTTCCCAAGGTCCCAGGGAACTGGGATTTGAACGCAGGCCATCTCCTCTTGAGGTTACATTCCTAGCCCTCTGTGCCAAGCTGTGCATTAAAGCAAATCTCCCCGACACTGAACACAGGGAGCTGGCTTCCTGCTAGGGAGTGTGGGCAGCGGAGTCTTATCTGGGCTGACATCAGACATCGGGGAGGGCGGGAGCGCGGGAGGGCGGAGGGAGGGGAGAAAAGGTGGCTTGTCTTTGGGGTTTCAGCTCAGCTTACCCAACAACAAGAATTTTCAATGCTACTACAGGGTGACAAAGTGGTAAAACAGGTTTGTGGTGGCTCAGAGAATAACGAAGAGAAGTGTTTTCACCAGAAGTTCTTGAGAACGGCAGGAAGGGGTTGGGGGGCAGCTCCTGCCGGGGGCCCCGAGGGAAGGATGGGGATGGGGATGGGGATGCTGGTGATACTGACCAGGCGAGAGAAGCCCTTCGAAGCTGCCCCACTACCAAGTAGAGGTCTGAGGAGACCACTTGTTTTATATGTCAAAAACAAGAATTTTCTAAGCTCACGCGCCACTGCCCTCAAATGTCCATGGCCCTACTGAAGATTACCAAGAAGCATAAAGCAAGGTCCCTTATCTTAATGACATCAGAATGTGGTCTGAGAGACAGCACTGGCATACAAACATACATACATATATGTGCATATATAAATAACAGAGCACTTGTGTATAAAAACATAACTTAAAGTGTAAAAAACATATCATGCACGACCTATAATACAAAGCCATGCTTTCTTATACCTTGTGTTGTGGGGGACACAGGGTCACTCATCCCAGGCAGTGGGGATTCAAGAGGGGGAAGATGTTTATAAGACCAAGAGTTCCCTCAGCAGGTGGTCATGGGTCCCCCGATTAAAAGGTCAGGGAGACAGACAGCTAAAAGGCTTGGGGCTCTGGCCACAGATCGTTGGGGCTGAACTTGAGGTTCAGAGGATGAGGAGTCAGGGAGAGAGAAAGGAAGTGAGTTGTCTGTGCAGATGTGACTTCCCTGGGATTCTAAGTGAGATATCCCTGAGAACAGACAGCTACTAGCCCTGGAGCTTCCAAGAGAGCTGCCCGGTTGCTCTGTAACAACTGTCCGATGAGCCCATCAGTGATACTGACTGTGAGTCGATGCATAAGCTGGGGCTGTACAAGTGGGTTACTAACAGTAAACGAATGCTCAGTAAGCACCTGCTCTGTGACTCTGCTTCCTCATCTATAACATGGAGTCAGCTGAGAGAACAGTCCTTACAGAGTTGCAATGAGGACCGAATGAGGTCGCCGGGGAAGACACGTTGCAAGTGCTTCCTGGCACCAAGCGACTGCTCTCAGTACAATCACGGCCGTGACAGCGAACACATCTGCTCTATAGAAACACAGACCTGCACCTTGCTTGGCTGCAAGCCAGCTTCTAAAGGTGAACATTTCATTTGGTCTAAGTTTCCTGGAAGTGCCTTAAGTCACCTCAAAAGTACAGTGGGTGTGGGATCATGCACACTCTGCTCGTAATTCATTGTGGGAGAGACACTTGTCCCCTCCACGGAATTCCCTCGGTGAAGGTGCTCCTTGGTTTAGGGGCCATGGGAAGGAAAAGAGCTTGTTTTGTTTTTGTGCATGCGAGATTCTATTGGATCTACTGGGGGGTGAGATGGGGGAAAGACAGGCACTCAGAAATGTTCAGTACGAGTTTCTACACTGGCTCATAAAACTCAGCTGAACGCACAGAACTTTACTGGCTTCAGGAATTCGGGGGACGATGGGAACTCTGGTCTGAAATGATTCCTAGTTTCTCTTTCTAAACCCCAACCTTAGGTGGTGTGTTCAGTAAATGCAGTGGAATAGAACTGAAACCATAGGATTGGAGAGCCACGTTTTGAGAAGGGAAGGGCGGGGAGGTGAGGAGCACGGTGGGGAGGGAGAAGGCAGGGTAGACTCACTTCTTCAGGGTCTGAAAGCCATGCTCTTTGAACTGCAGCTCCTGCTGGAGGTGAACCATCTCCCTCTTCAGCTTGTTGACCTGGGTGACGAAGACCACACATGGGGCCAGGTCAGAGGTTGACACCGAGCTGAAGGCCACCTTCTCCTCACAGGGAAACCCAGATCCCCCACTGCCCCTGCACAATGACCTAGGTCAACATCCTCTGGGTCACATGGTCACAATACCGTCCCCTCACCGAAGCTGCCTTGCTCTCTGCAGCTGCCCACTCAGTCAGCATCCCAGCCTGGCTGTCCTGTGGGCCACACAGAGCTGAGCCCTTGCTCCAGGAAAACAGAAAGCAGACAGGAGCTGGCTGAGCTGGGGGAGAGCCTGGCCCTCCCACTGTCCAGCTGAGTGACTTCTCTCAAGCCACCTCACCTCCCTTTCCTGTTCTGGTGGACGGTGGCAGTCCCCAGGGCCATGCACTACTTAAAGCAGGGAGTGGGTATGGGAGCACCGTGCATGGATGCGAAAGGCAACGTAATAACTTTGAGGCAGGACTTGGCCTGGGCGCCAGAGCCAGCCTGCAGGAATGCCTGGTTTGGCTGTAGCATTACTAAAATGTTTAAAATTACTTGCTAATATTTAAATATTGAGAAATTTCATATAATAAGCCTAGATACATAGTTCTTCTCTAAAAGTACTTGAAGATCTGCCACCCTGGCTGGTGTGGGTCACTGGAGCACCAGCTGAACTGAAAGGTCACAGGTTGGATTCCTGATCAGAGCACATGCCTGAGTTACAGGCCAGGTCCCTGGTTGGGGGCATGCAAGAGGCAACCAAGCATGTTTCTGGCTCACATGGATGCTTCTCTCCCTCTCTTTTTCCCTCCCTTCCCCTCTCTCTAAAAATAAATAAACAGAATCTTTAAAAAATAAAAGTACTTAAAGATCCGCCAGCACTGAGCCCACATTCCTGAATGGCCACAGTAAGCTACAGCTAAAAGTCAACCACCCCTGTAAATAGAGCCCACCTCTCTAGGCTACAGTCCCCACTGCTCCCTACTGCCCCACCCCCCTACCCGCTTTTATGTTTTCTTACAAGCACCTGAGTCGAACCTATCTGAAGCGGAACAAAACCAGCGTTCCAAATCTTGCTGTGCCTCAGTTTCCGCATCAGTAAAATGGCAAACGCAAAGAGGTTAGATAAGATCATGTAGAACCAGCAAAAGCTAGGAAGACAGCACATGCCATTAGGAACTCTGGAGCAAACCTGAGTCCCTTGGGACCTTGCGTAAGTTACTTGTCCCCTAAGCCTCTGTTTGATGATATTTAAGTACAGATATTGACAGAAGCTACTTCTTGGGGCCGTCGTAATGACATAGGATGATACACATGAAGCTCTCAGCACCATGCCTCGAGTGCTTGTGACACAGTATCTGCCGTTACCAAGACTGTCACTATGACGACAACCTACCACCGCTACTACTGGTATTATTTGGGGCCTGTTAGTCAGCACAGGCTACCCCTAGGCCTGGTCTCGGCATCCGCTCTGGTCTCGTGGAGGAGTCTCAGGGACCCCCACGCACAGCGCACACAAAGACGCCCTACCCGGGATTTTGCTGTGGTGATTTCCGCTTTCAGGATCTCAGGGTCATACTTGGAGCTGGATGATGAACCGGATACCACTGCAACGAAAAAGGGAAATGAAATTCTGTAGAAGAAACACATTTGGGCAGAACTGGCGTAGCTGGCCATGTAGAAAATCCCAGAGAGGAATGACCAATAGTGAATAACCTAAATGTCCAACAATGGGGGATTGGGGAAATAAATATGGTCCATACATGAAATGGGGAGCATACAACTTCTGTGATTTAAAATGATGGAGCAGAATCCTGAACCAGGGGAAATGCTTAAAACTTACTGTTATAAAAAAACAACAGTTAACCAAAACACTGTAAGGACAGAATAACATAAATTAGGAAACGATACACACATTCTGCATTTAAAAAGATCAGAAAGAAATAAACCAAAAAGTGATAAGCACCCCAACTAAGAAAGAGGCCACCACCTTCCCCTTTGGGTCCTCGCCCCCTCTCTAATCCTCCAGAGAGAAGAATTTCACGTTTGAACAGGACCTTAGAGGCCACCACCTTCCAAGTCTCACATTTTTAAATGTTCAGTTTTAATTCATTATAAGGGTGGGGCAGAAGTAGGCTGACAGTTATGAGGATGTGAAACACTCTTTATTCTTGTATTATTTATTAATTATTGTATTATCTTCCACATGCACAACTATAAACCTACTTCTGTGTATGAACCCTGACTGTGTATGAACGCAGTTTAATGGCCCCACGAAATAAAAGTTCTGCTATAAAAAAAAAAAAAAAGTGCCCTCTGCCTTACCTTCCTCCCAGAAGGGCAACATCTAACCACACTCAGCCAGTTTCCTGGGTATCCACCTCTGTGTCTAATGATTCGCACGCATTGCTGCTTCTGGATTTTTTTCAGTTAGGTGTTACTTCTTCGCTGGTCCCTCTGGACAATGGAGATGGAGGTTCCTCCCTTTCCCAGGCCCTACCCCACCTACTCACAGGCACTGCTCCCGGCCCCCTACCCTCCTGAGAGCCAACATCATGTGGGTGAAAGCAACCTTCGGTTCTGCATTGACTTTCACTCTGTAAACACTACTCAGGGCAAAGGCATGGAGCCGACTGGGCTTACTTTTCCTCTCTGGCGCATTTTTTTTTTTCCTTTACGCTTGCCTACAAACTTATCACCGATTCACCCTCACATTCTGCCCGTTATCTAAATCTCCTCTCACACAGTCCAGGCCAGCATGCCCCCTTCTGGCCAGCTCCTCTTTCTGGTCCCGTCTTGCTCAGACATGGGCTGAATTCAGTATGAGCTGCTTGCTCTCTTGGCACAGCTGGCATCTGGAGATGCCTGCCTTGCCTCTCTCCTCTTTCCAAAATACCACGTACTGCTCTTTGTGTGGATTAGCCCCTCATTTTGGCAGAACACCGAAGTTGAGGATGGAGAAAGCTTTCTGAAGTCTTGCATCTGTAAAAATATCTTCGCGCTATCCTCTACGTGCTTACAGGTAGTTTTGCTGGATATAAAATTCCAGGTAGGAAATGACTGTTCTTACAATTTTGAAGGCATTGCTCTATTGCCTTCTAGGTTTCCCATGTTACTACTGACAAGTCCGGAGTTGTGCTGAGTCCTAATAACTTTTCTGTGACCTCGTTTTTCTCTCAGAAAACTCCTAGGATCTTGAATCAGTCCCGGTGTTTAAATCGCACAATGCTGTGTCTTGGTGCGGTGGCTGACTTTTATCCACTGCACTGGCACTCACTGAGCCCTTTCAATCTAAAAACTCTCCTCCATCAGTTACAGGAAATTCTCCTGAATAATTTCATTGATGCTTCTTTCCCCATTTCCTCTGCTCTATCTGAACTTTTATTACTCAGATTTCCCGGCCGGGTGCTCTATTTCCCTTATTTTTCATCTCACTCTATTTCCGTTCTTTAGAAGATTTCTGTCGTTTTGCCTTCTAGCCTTCCCGCGGACTTTTTATTTCTACCATCGTGTGTTAACTTCCAAAGGCCCTTCTGTGTGCTCTGAGGGGGCCTCTTCATAAAATGCAGCCTCCTGTTCTTGCTTCACGGCTGTGCAGTTCCTTGATGCTTTCTTCTCTACACACACCCCGTTCGTTCCCTCCAAGGCCTTCCCATCACCACGTGTTTGTTTTAATCTCTATTTTTCATGTTCGAGGCTTCCCTTGGATGTCTGGCTCTCAGCTGCCAACTCCCATGTAAGAGTGGGGCCCAAAAAGCTGACTGGATATGAGCTTGTTGACTGAATTACAGGGTACACGATTTGGCTGGACTGTTTTATCCACGATTCGCCTTTGCCGGTGTCTTTATATCTTTTCTCTTTGTATCTCTTTTCTCTGTTCAGATCTCCCCAGACTCATCTACTGGCCACACTGGTAGGGGATAGCTTGGCACCATTCTGGGAACCAGCTGGTACTTGCGGGCTGAGGTCTCAAAATCCTGTCTGTTCCACGTTCGGTCCATCACATTTTCTGTATGGTCCAAGCCACCAGTGAACTTGCATTGTCTCTTGTAGTCCAAACTCTGTTTTGTTCTCTCCAGAACACAGACCTCCAGTCTTTTGCTGGTTGGGGATGGGCAGTTACCAATTAGGAGAGGTTGTCTCAGAAAGAACTTTCACCCTGTCCTCTTATTTGACATCCTCCTCGTTTCACACCCGCCCCCAGACACAGGTGCCTGTCCAACTCGCCAGGCCTCTGCAGGTGTTCTACACAGACGACAGGGCTGGTTTTTCCCACTAGCGGCCCACTTCTCTTTGCTGAGGTCTGTCAGAGAGGCTGCCACCTGTCTGTCTGCTTCCCAGCTTCCACGTTATACAGGAAGGGGAAAAGTAAGTTTACAATTGCTTGCATGGAAAAGAAAACAATTATTTAAAATGAAGGAGAGAATTCTAGAAGCAGCAAGAGATAAGGGGACAGTCACCTACAAAGGAGTTCCCATCAGACTGTCAGCAGATTTCTCAAAAGAGACCTGACAGGCAAGAAGGGGCTGGAAAGAGGTATTCCAAGTCATGAAATCCAAAGACCTACATCCAAGATTGCTCTATCCAATGAAGCTTTCATTTAGAAAGGAAGGGCAGACAAAGTGCTTCTCAGGTAAGGTCAAGTTCAAGGAGTTCATTATCACCAAGTCCTTATTATAGGAAATGTTAAAGGGACTTATCTAAGAAAAAGAAGTTAAAAAAACATGAACAGTGAAAGGACAGCAAACTCACAGTTATTAACAACCACACCTAAAACAAAAGCAAACTTGGAGGACAGCTAGATCAGGAGAGGAACCATAGAAATGGAGAACACATGGAGGGTTAGCAACAGGGGAGTGGGAGGAGGAGAAGGGGGGAGAAGGTACAGAGAATAAGTAGCATAGACAGTAGGTAGAAAATAGATGGGGGGAAATGGGGGTGAGGGGGGTGTGCAGGGTGGAGGGGAATGAAGGGGGAAATGGAACAACTGTAATGGCATAATCAATAAAATATACTTTTAAAAATCTATAAAGGAAAAAGAAAACAATTATTCATAAACAGTAACAGAAGAATAAACTGCGTGCTTCCAGTACTCACAATTGTAAACTACTTTTGCTAAACCCTGTGCTGCTGCCCTGTTCTCCACGTCTCCTTGTCCTTGTGCATGCGTGCCTTTTGCAGATCTAGCTGATCTTTGCTCACATTCAGTAGTCAGTGGTTCAACCGGCATTATTTACCTGCAAGGCTCCCAGTGATTTATTTTTCAAATTTCCCCGTCCTAGTCCTTGAGTGAGGAAGGAGCACGGCGAGGTCCACAAGAACCCAGCTCTCGCAAGTTCTCATCTTTCAGAAGATGGGAGGATCCCCCGTGTAGCCCAAGAACTGTAGACACTGACTGGCTGACTTGGATTAAATTAAGAGAATTGGTTTTTGAGGTCAGATGCTCCTGGGTATAAGGGCCAGCTAGCTCTGCCATCTTTCACCAGTGTGACCCTGGGGAAACCTCGTCCCCTCTCTGAGGCCTCAGTTCCTTTATCTGTAGCATGAGAACAGCAGTGTCTTGAAGGCTCGTCCGTGTCTATGTGTGTGCGAGCGGGGAGGGAGGTTACGATAAATGGCACATGCAGAGTGCCCAGCAAACTGCCTTGCAAGGACACATTCACAGTTAGCTCTCTCCTCTTTCCCCACAGAGCTAGAGACTGTAACGCCTCCGGGGCAGGGTCCACAAGAGCCCGGGCCAGGTGGCAGAACTCTTGCAAGCCCTGGCAGGCCATCTGAGTTAGAAGCCAGGCATGTCGCCTCACCAGTCTATCGACGTGCCGAAGGGCTTGACCTGGAAGGCAAACCTGGCTTGTAAAACCTGAAGAGAGGCGTGAGCAGACTTGGGCCCTGTTTCTTTAACTGGGGTCCCGGTCCCCAAATAGAAGCTCTATAACATTCAAAATAACTGCCTTTGACCCTGAGAGTGCTCTGGGGAGCACCGGGAAGTTAAATGACTGCACCACATACTTCCTCTACCAGTGATCATGGATTTATTCTTCTTGGTTCCAAGGATCTGTTAAAAATCTGTCCCATTTCAGTGCCAATGAATTAATAGTATCAAATAATAACTGCCATTATTTGGGAGCTTAAGAATATGACGAGTGCTATTCTGAGCACTTTACATTTGTTAACTACTTTAAGTCCCATAGCACACCAGTGAGGGTGATAATACTATTGTGTCCCCTTTCAGACGAAGACCTTGAGGCAGAGAGAAGACACGTAACCTGGGTGAGGTCCCCCAGCTGGTAAACCGCACGCCCTGGATTTGGATCCCGGCAGTCCAGCTCCCGAGTCCGTACTCTCAAAATATTACATAAAGTGTTTCCTGCCCAAGAGAATATTTATTGTGACACTATGGGAACTGGTTTACTTAGACTGGGGGTTTTCAGCTGAGGACTTTTGCCTTGGAAGACACGTTTGGCTCCGTGTGGAGACATTTTTGGTTGTCACAGCTTGGGGTAGGGGTGCCTACTGGCACCTTGTGGGTGGAGACCAAGGATGTGGCTGAACATTCCACCATGCACAGGACACCCCCCCCCAATAAAGATTAATTTGGCTTGAGGAGTGGGGGGCATAAGGGGACTAAATGGTAACGGAAAAAAAATACAATGAAGGCTAAATTTTTAAAAAATAACAAATAACAGCACAGTTAAAAAAAAATCAGTCTGGCTCAAAATGTTGGTGGCACCAAGGCTGAAAAACCCTGGCAGCAAAATAAGGAAATACTAACAGAGAAACACGCAGATATATTGCGATGTACGTGATAAAGAAAACAAACAGGGAGCCCTTAGGGAGGCTGACTTAGGGGCGGGGTATGTGCTGATGGAGTCGTCCCACGAGAGTCTCTCAGAAGACATGGCCTGCAGGACCAGGCTGGAAGGATGAGAAGGAGCCAGCTGTGCAAACGGATCACGGAAAAGCCTTCCAGGGAGGGGAACAGCAAGTCCAAAGTGAAAAGGTGCAGGGCAGGCGACAGGAGCAGAGGGTAGGCAGGCCCTGGTGGAGGATGGGGGCGTTGGTGCGTCTGGAGCTGATTGACAGCATGAGACATGGTGGGCGTGGTCAGCAGGGGCCTGATCACGCTGGACCGTACAGGCCAAGAAAAGAGCCCTGGGAAACCACTGAAGGCTTTTTAAAATTGTGATAAAATATATGTAACATAAAATTTACCACTTCAATCATCTGTAAGTGCACATTCGTATTCTGCAAACATTGCCGCCATCCACCTCCCGAGCTTTTGCACCGTCCTAATCTGCAGCTCCATACCCATTAAACACTAACTCTCCACACCCCATTTCCCCAGCCACTGAAGTGTTTTAAACAAGGAGATAATGCAACCTGATTGGCACTCTGAGATGATGACAAATGAATGAAAGGACATGGAAGGAAAATAGCAAATGAGTCACTGCAGGCACAAGTAGGAGCAAAAAGAGACAGTTTGAGCAAGCGGTGGAGGAGCAGGAGGAAAGTGGGCAGATTGCAGAAGAACTGGGAAGCAATACGGGCGGGATTCAGGGCAGCCATTCCCTCCTCGCCGGTGGTGGTGGGGTGGGTCCTGGCAGTGGGAGGTACTCACAGCTGACCTGGGAGCCCAGCTTGTGCTCCCAGACGGCATGCAGCTGCTGGTACTCCTGCTGGGCAAGCTCCAGGCGCTGCTGCTTCACCTGGTAGATCTCCTTCTGCGCACTCAGGGCCTCCTGGGCCACCACCAGGTAGTCCTTCAGCATGTGCTCCTGCTCCCGCCGCCATTGTACCCGGGGGTCCTCGATCTGAGTGGTTTCTGGAACAGACCCCAGAGACTCTAGGTCAGTACCTCCCAATTATCTGCTGGGGTGGTGGCCTGTGGAACCCACTTCCAGAAAACATAAAGGCACCATGAATGAAAAACCACAATAAATGTGAATGGGTTACACTTACCTATTAAACAACAGAGACGCTTGGATTAAGCAAACAGACACAAAATTGGCCACGATAAATTTCTAAACCGAGTCAATCTGTCTGAGAGCAGGTAACTGCTGTTAGGAATTCACACACTAATAGGTTCTGATTATCTGCAAATCTGTTCATATATACAGCTCTGTATATACAAATTTATTTTTAATGCAGCATAACCCCATGTCACATACATTGTTCATCCTTCCTAGGAGGTGCATAAAAATTAACCTCAATTTTTAATATTTTTTTCAGTTGTATTATTGTCTTTTTTTTTTTACTTACTCCAGTCATTTAACTGATAGCACAGTAGTCCATGGAATGATACTACGTTTATTTACAGGACGGTTATTAGTGGTTTCCCAAACCACTGTCAGAAAATGTCGGGACTGTTTTCAATTCTGTTGCTACCACGAGCAACTGTGAGGATTGTGGTAGCAACAGAATTCTCACCACTGCAGTGAGGAGTCTTAGAAACATGTTTCTATGAACTTGGTGCTAAATTGTGTACGATAGATTTCTTAAAAGAGTAACTACCGGCTCAGAGGGTAAACACATTTTAAATTCTAACAGAGATAGTACCAAATCACCTTCTCAAAGGTTGTACCAATTTTTATTCTCACAAACAGCTATGAGAGTGCCTTTTCCCCAGATTCTCAACTAACTTGCTTAAAAAAAAAAAAAAAAGTGGTGTTTCATCCAGGAATGCTGAGTCCCAGCAACAGATTAGAATCAGCCAAGGAGCTTCAAACAACAAAAACACACAAAAAAGCCTCAATCCTGTCTCAGAGCACTGAGAGCAGGTCCAAGACTCAATGTCATTTCCTTCCAACTTTGAAGAGATGCCATAGAAACTGCACTCATTTATATCATTAGCCGATGGTAAAAGTGGTCTCATTATACGTGCATTGTTTCCCACAACACAATTTAATCACCAGTTAAAACCACCTAATCATGATGAATGTAAACAGTGGGAGAACAGACATGAAATAATGAAAACCAGTTATAATTTGGAAAGAGTCATCTACGTCTGCTGCCTCTGGTTCTTCCCCTCCACTTGCTTTCGGACTCGCTCTAATCAGACTTTTGCCCCCAGTTCATGTCCAAAGCTGCGCCCCACCGTCACAGTCACCAATGTCACCTGGGTTGCTAAATCTAGAGGTCAAGTCAAAGTCCTCTCTGCACCTGAGCTGTCAGAAGCATCTGACAGCATCGCCCCTTGATATGCTTCCATCACAGGGCTGCCAAGACCCTCGGGCTGTCCCCTCAGCTTTCTGATCGATCCTCAGGATCATCCTTGTCTGCCTCTTCTTGGCACCCTCTCACTGTCTGAGGACCCCACGGCTCACCCCTCGGTCTTCCTCTGTCTTCATTTCCCTCTTTGGAAACCTCACCCAGCTTCCTGTCTTTAAATACTATCCACACGCCGACAACGCCCACACACCTGTCTTCAACCCAGGTATCTTTCCAAACTCTGGATTCCTACGTCAAGCTGACCAGCACCATCTTTTGCCCAAAAGAACCCTTGTTCCTGCTTCCTAAACCCACTTCTCCTGTCATTTCCTTCATTCCATTGATGGCAGTTCCATTGGCCAGTTGCTCAAATCCAATGAGGGTCATCTATTCTTTCTTTCACATCCCAGATGCATCTCTCAGAAAATCCTGTTGGCTCTCCCTTAAAAATACACGCAGCATCTGGTCACTTCTCACCACCTCCATCTACTACTATGGCTCTGGTTGGGGACACTGTCCTCTGTCACCTGGACTAGTAGTGCAACTGTCTCTCCCAAGTGTCCCTACATTCATCCTTATCCACTAAGGTCTACTGGTAGCAGAGCAACCAGAATGACCCTTTCGAGACATAAAGCGGGACATGCCACTCAACTGCTTGAAAGTCTCCAAAGGCTCCCATCTCCCATGGAGTAAAAGCCAGGAGAGTGAGGCTGATGGACCACTGCCCCGTTGGTCTGTGGTCTGCTGCCCTTCTCCTTTTTCCTCACTCATTCTTCTGTCAGCACATCCTTCTGTCTCCTTGCCATCCCTCGAGCAAGCTAAATGCGGTCACATCTCAGTTTTTGCTCTATCTCCCCTCTCTACTTGAAATGCTCCTTCGTCTCCACGTCTTAGCTCACATCCCATTATGTATACTACATAATGTGCTTATTTATTGTGCTTATTTTCTCTGTGGCCACAGTGAAAGCTGTATATGGACAAGGATCGTTGCCATTTACTCTCACGTATCCCAACCTCCCGCACAGTTGCCTGGAACGTTGCGGGTGGTAAATGAATGTGTGCTGGATGAATGCGTGCTGGACGAATGCGTGCTGGACGAATGCGTGCTGAATGGCAAGTTTAATATGTAGTTCAATTGTACTGGGTCGATAACTCCTAAGAGAGTGACTTCAGTCAATGGACAACATACACACAGAAGACTGGTCCCAGTCCACGACTCTGAATGCCTGGGCCTCGATGATGTCATGTCTATGCCACCTGTATGTCACTGGCCCCACCCATAGAGGTGGTGCCCTTCCAGCCAATGACAGCACCTTCACACCAAAGGAAACCAGTACCTGGACAGCTGGCAAAACTACCAGACAGAATTCTCCCTATTCTGGGCCCCACAGACTCCCATGCCTCCACACACCCACCTCATTTCTGCCATCATTCCCTCGAGAACAAACTTGGCCACTGCCTGCTATTTCCTTCCCCCCCCCCCTCCCCCCCCCCCCCCCCCCCCCCTCCCCCCCCCTCCTCTCTCCCTCCCCCCTCCCTCCCTTCCTTCCAATTCTCCACCGTCTCCCAGGAGCACCGTAGAGTCCCACTCACGCTGTCAGATTTTACTGAGGGGGATGCACTCAGCAATTAGGAACAGGAAAGGACTGATTAAGGTTCCGGTACATCCGTGTTTACCCCAGCACACCACGCCGCCCTCCCAGCGTTAACCTCACTCCCCATACACATCCAATTAGGCATATTTACTTCTCATTATCCAGTACGCAATCACGAGTGCTAATAAAAAGCTCAGCTACCCCCAACAATGCAATTAATGTCATTAGCCATCTCTCAGAAACTCTTCTATGCTTTGGTGCCAGCAACGGTCTGCTCATTCATCCATTTAGCCATGCATCTGTGCATGTAAGCCCTTTTAGCGAAGGTCAAGTGCACACCTACTATGTGGCTTTATCAGGCAAAGGCCTGGAAACAGACAGATGAATTAGACACTCTCTGCTCTAGAAGAACTTGAAACAACAGGTAAATGGTTATACCACAGAGTGATGAGGAGCATAACAAAGGAATGGCCAGAGGTTACTGAGACCCAGAGGAGGAAATGGATGAAGAAGCACACCTCTGCTCCCCAGTACAGGTTCAAATCCGAGATCTGCCACGTTTCAGCTCTTGAGTGTCAAGTGGTCAATTACTACCTGTGCATCCCAACTGTAAGATGAGGATAACCATCCTGACAGCCCGTAGGGTAGTTGGGAGGATGAAATGAGATGATGCTTGGCTATTGCTGAGCCCAGCACATGGCAGAGCGTGCATGCTCAGTAAGTGGGCTAGGATGCCTTATTCTCAGCCTCAGGCTTTGCCAGGCATGTCCCATCCCACTGCATTCTTCTCCCTGGAAGGATCAAGGAAATCCACCAATTCAATGCTCTTTCCTCACATGAACAAATGGGGCGGCAAATTTCAAAGGACAGGAATAGTCTTGGCCAAGCAGGTGCACAATGGATGAGGCCCAAGGATGCTTAACTCTCCCCCCAGTGGGGGACAGCTGGGTCCCTCCGCCTGTCAGGCAACATGCGTGTCCCTTTCTCGAGCTATTCCTCCATCCCAGTCCCAGAGACAGGCACTAGGAGTCTCCGCTCTGGACCAGGAGACTTGGATCACTGACATCAAGTGAGGATGGGGTGACTCGTGCGATGCGCTTGAGATGCACACGCTCACACCAATCCACTCTGGACAGGTATGTGTGCATGCTGCTGGGGACTCGCTGGGGCTCTGGCGGCTCCAAAATAATCTGGCAATGACAATGACACTCTATCTTTATGGGGGGGAAAAAGATCTATATACATATACAGTGATATAGGTAAAAGAATATACATATACACACACATATAAACACATGATTGGGAAACTCCTGGAAGGGTAACATGAAACTGTTAGCAGCGGTTGCGTCTGTGAAACTGGGACGATGGATTGGAAGAGGGGGGGAGTTTCAGATTCTATTGGAAACCCTTCTAAACTGTTACTTTACGTGAGCATACATCCTCTGTCCCTATCTACACTGATATCTCTATCTAACTCTATCGAACAAAATACAATCTGGCTTTGAGAGCCTCTTCCAGATTGGGGGTGAGCATGGAGGTAGAAGAACAGGCAGAGGGGAAGGGGGGACGGCCAGGAACTTACGGGTATTGTGGTCAATGAAGTAATCTCCAACCTGTGGGTCGTACGCCTCCTCCCATCCTAGGGGCAGCTCGTCACTGATGCAGTCGGCGAAGGTGAGCGGTTTGGTGTACCTGGAAGGGAAGAGGAGAAACAGACTCCATCAGCTCGCAGTCCCCACACCCCTGCAACCGGCTACTGCTCTTGGCCTCCTTGCTCCTTGGGGCTGGCCCAACAGATCCGAAAACTTCCTGCTGACACCGGATCTGTTCCTGCTGTCCCGGGAAGGTGAACACATGGAAGGAGGCAGGGAATCTGTGTTCCAGCCCCAACAACGTCACTAACTAGGGAGAAAACTGAGCAGGTCACCTTCCTTCTCTGGGCCTGTTCTGTTCCTGCATCGCTAATGGAGGGGGTTTGCAGGAAAGGGCTTGAAGGTCAAGGCTTGCTTCTGGACTTGGACTGTAGCCCACTCTGGATTCTCCGCCTGTAACTCTCTGGCCCACCCACCCTGAGTCTTTCTCCTGGTTCTACTGCATGTTGTCATGCCCACTCCTTCCCCACACCCCACCAGAAAGCTGGCTCAGTGCAGCCTCTAGCAGAGCAGATGCTCCAGCCCTGTGAGTTTGGCCAAGAGCGGTATTCATTTGCCTCCTGAGCTGGTTCCCAGATGCCTGTGCTCACTGCTGCCCTTCCCTAGACAACCCAGGCCAAACTGATCTTTTAGCAAGAACCCCCTTCTAAGTCTCTGTCCTGCAGGCGGTGAGGTGACAATAATCATCCAATCTTATGGTTTAAGTCAGACAGACAAACAGATCACCCAACTAAATGAACAAAGGCTTGTCAAGCCCGGAAAACACCACTGATTGCTGGTTGAGTACTTTAGCCAGAGGGCCAGACATCTAATGGATATGTAAGTCAGCCCAAGCAGCCCCTCCAGGCAGCTCCTTGGTTTCTCCCCATTGCTGCTTCTGCCTAAAATACATACTCTTCTCCCTCTCCCATCCACTCCTGACCCACTCCCAGTTCCAGAATCCCAGAGACTCCGCTTTGTCAATCATTCTACAGACTCGCAAATGGGGAGGTTCAACAGGACAGGAAGAAAGATGGCTGGGGTGAGCTTCCCTCCAAGCCTCAGGAACCCACCTTCTCTCTCACCCTGTGCAATCTCCTTCCTTCTTAAATCCACTCCAAGTCAAACTTAAGCAAAATACATGAGGGAGGAAGAAAGACCGAAAGAGCCTCTGGTGGAGAGACCTGGGGTGCCCATGGGCACTGCACACCCAGGGCCTGGAAGCCGTGAAAATACCTACTGACTGAATGAATGGCTAGCTCCAACGTTTGCTAGTTAGTAATTTACTGCTATATTGTAGGAGACAATGAGGATGAGATCAGAGGTCGATGTGATATGCAACAGACTAATACTCACTACTAAGTAAGGGTTCAATGTACATTACTACCATTAGTTGTGTGAGTGTAGCAGCTTAACCTCTCTGGGCCTCAGTGTTTTTATCTGTAAAGTGGGGATAAAAACAACTCACCGGGTTGCCTATTAGCTTAAATAAGGCCAAGTTTATAAGAACATTTAGCTCAGATCCCGGTGCAAACGAGTGCTCAAAAAACATCAATTATATCCACTTCCCCTGAAAAGGAAATTGAGGGTAAGGAAAACTAAATAATATTCTCAAGGTCAAAGACAAAAGTGGGATTTCAAGCAAGACTATGTGTCACTGGAGGCCCTGCGGTAAGCTACAAGGTTCTCTTGGAAGTTGACATCTTCAATGCATCTCCTGAGTCCCGGGGAAAACCACAAGTTACTGCCTAAAACCACAAGTAACCACCTACTACGCAGGTGACGGGCCTTTCCTGGTCTAAGACTGGGCCAGTCTGGACCAAGTTTCTGCAAAGCTGTCTATAGTCTACTCTGCCTGCACCCAACACTCTGCCCCAATTCCAACAACAACGGGCCACTTCCAGCAGCACCTCCCCACGCAGACGTCTCCAAGTGCATGTTTCCTCTGCCACATGGAGAGTGAAGAAGACCAGTGACCAGGAGCCAGAGCTCACCGACACCATTTCACCCAAGAATCTTTGAAAAGGGCCTCTGAGGAAAATCACACACCGGTGTACGCCCCCTCCACGGCCAGTGCCTCTCCCCTGAGGACAGATAGGTGGTGAGGCTCAGAGGGATGCTTGAGCTGACCACACTCAGACCTCTCCTGGCTCACTGCTCGCCCTGCACTCGGCCAGCTTGGCTGTGGACACAGAAGTCTTACTATACCCGCAGTTTGCAATCCAGAAAACCAAGATACATCCCATCCCAACAGCCCCCCTGAATCTGAGTACGGGGACCACCTTCAAGAGTCCTCCTTGGGGATTCATGAAACGGCTTCATCAGTGGTGCCTCTGAGCGAGAGGATCCTACATCTCCTCACAATTAGTGCTCAGTAAATATCTGTGGAATGGGTGAACGCAACCCTGGATGTGTAGGAACAAAGAATAACAATGCACCTTGTTATTACGTGTGACAATGTGTTCTGCATTTTTGCTAGCATGGAAGGGTTCTCTCAATTTACTACAAGAAAGAAAATACTGTTCGAAGAGAAGATCTACAGGATACTGTTATGCATGATATTTTGCCCGAAAGTGTGTGTTGTGCATGTGTTTGTGTGAGTAGAAGAAAAACTGGAAAGACAGACATTAAAAAAGATGATCTCAGTACAGGAATTTCAGTGTAATTTAAATTTTCCTTTTTCTTCTTTTTACTAATCTTCTGTAATGTTCACATACTGATTGTCATTAAAATGCTTAACAGCGGCTAAATCGAGGCACAGACACCAAGTCACATCCATCTCGTTCCTCCTCTGGATCACAGGCCTCCTTACTCTGTTTTACAAATGAAAAAACGCGCGTCACATCCCAGAGCTGGTCCACCCCAGCGGTCTGAGGCCCCACTGCCTGATTCCCAAACCTGAGTTGTGCTAAGAAAAATGAACGAGACCCTGGGAGTCTCAGAACGATCTGGAACGCAGAGTGCGCTGTAGCCGTGATGCAGATGGACCCCAGGAGGTCTGGAGCAGGCGAGGGCCGGGGAGCTCTAGCACACTCGCACCTTCCACTGCCTCCGTACAAAGACACGCAGTGACCATGGATAACCCACGGCTGCTTAGTGAAAAGGCAGCTGAACGTTTCAGAGTCATCCAAGTCATCAACGCAAGTGCCTCCCGGAGCTCTGCGTGTGTGACATGGGGGTGGGGGGGCTGCACTGAAACACCAAAAAGGCATCACTTTTCCAGAAAAACGTGAACTCCTCGGATTATTCCAGTCTTCCACAATGAAACAATGCTACCTACAAGCATTAGTCCTGGGACTGACATGAGGCGGGGCGGGGCGGGGCGGTCAGGGGTGCTGGTTCCAGCTTGCAGCAGAGTCAGGGAGGCACTGTGCCTACTAGGAATAGAGAAAGTGAACAGAGAGGACCCCAAGGTAGAAGGCGAGGGCAGGAGGAGAAAGGAAGGCTTGGTTGGATATTCGGGGCTCCCTTCAGAGCGGGGCGGGGGGGGGGGGAGCCAGAGGGCTGACACTCTCATGCCCTGAGCTTGCCCATGGGAAAGAGAAAAGCCTCGATCAGAAGACTATGCGACTCACAAGAAATCCGGACAGCAAGAACCTCTCTGGGACAAATGCCCGGTGGGAGATTCAGTGTGCAGAGACGTGCCATTCAGAGAGTCAGGATAAAGAGAAGTGTTTTTAGCTGCACCAGGATTTAAACACACAGACAGACACACAAGCACACACTCCTCTTCCTGCCAGAGAGAAACTGTTTGAACCAGTCCCCCCTGGGAAACTGGGGGTACTTCTCTGGTCTTACAATGTTTCCCCCTGGGCGAGTGCCAAGAATGTGAGCTGGGAAGAGATGCCAGCTTTCAGATGTGGCCAGGACTTGGGGGCTTGCCTGGGACACCCAGCCCCTGCCCTCCGATGAAGGGATTTACCCCGATTTAGCCCGGTCCAGTCCCAGGTTGCAGCTTCCGTGCCCTGGGCCACTGAAAACCCCAACATGAAATCAAATGACCCAGATGCTGGAAGGGCGAGAGGGAGGGAAGGAGGGTAGAAAGGGCACCAAGCAAGAACTGGTTCTGCCTCTTCTTAATTACAAATCTCTGAAGGAACACAAACATTCCAGAATGTTTCACAACAGGCCTCCTGGAAAAAGGGACCGGATGTGTCGCCTTGGATACAGGTAGGTTCTGCCGGATCACCGATATGCGGCACACCTGTCCCGCCTCCTGACTCCACCGTTCCTTTTCTACGGGCTGTGGGAGAGTCAGGGAGCACACTGGCACAGCCGGCAGGCATTTGGGATTCAGACAGTGCGTCTTTTCTAAGGAGGCAGCTCAGAGAAGGAGCGGAAAGGCTTTTGCCAAGTCGAACACTGGGTGGTGATTCTCTGGGGCCTGAGGAATGCGTAACGTATCTTTCATGTTCTTGGTGCTTCCCAAGCAATCCGAACACTTCCCACAGTAACCTCTTTATCGTGTCCAGCAGGATGCTGGCCCCCGACCGGCTCTCTCCCATGGGCCAGCTGGGAGGGACAACTTTCTAAAGGGCTCTCCAGACTCCATGCCAAGAACTGTCCAAACTTTCAGCCGAATCTCCCCTCCCAGCCGGGGCACAATGGACAGGCTGGTTCTTCCCGCCCAGGAGTGTTTCGCTCACATAGTTCCCATAGCTCAGATTTCACCGCCCCGATCACGTGCCTCCGGCTGCCACACAGCCCTGTTTCTGAGCGGGGCCTTCACCTCTCGCACCTTGAGGGCCGGTGGGCAGAAGAAAGTGCCGCATAGGAGGAAACTCTCCTTCAATTCAGCTCTGTTCAGACACCTTCATTCATGTTAACAAATCTGAGGAGGATAAAGATACCCATCTCAAGTTCTCGAGGAGGGCTGAGCATTGGAAACACGGATGAACGTCATGGACAAATGCCAGGTGCAGAGTGGAAAAGATAGGGCCCTATGCGTACACGGTCGTCGGGGAGACACCCCAGCCAGGATGTGAACTGACATGGTCAGTTCAACGACTTCCGTGATTCAGGAAAACCCAACATCAGAACAACACAACAGGATCAACTGGG